TTTTGGAATTAGTGAAGTTTATGATGGCTTAAGTAAATTTGTCAATCACTTTTGGGTGATACATTGTTAACTATTGCCTATATACTTAATAAAGTATCTTTCAAATTGGTTACATCCATCGTTTATGAATTATAGATTAGGAGAAAACCTAATCTCAATAATTCGATACCTTAGGGTTATGCTGCATTTTTAGATAAGCTGCTCATCCACATAGCAAGCTAGGTCCTCGAAATAAAAAGAGTATATTTATAAGATATTTCAAGCATTCAAAAGAATACGTGTTCATAAGTGAACAGTCAAGTAGGAGTATAACTAAATTTGAATCTTGGGATACCATTTTTCTAAAAAGTGAATTTTTCAAAGAGAGGTGAGATAGATCAAGAAATGTTTCCTTACGATATTTAAAAAGTAAATGATTTATTAGTTTCAAATCAATTAATGTATGTTCCTAATTAAGAACCAATAGTATCTTATCCAAATGGGAGCTTGACTAAGGATGATGAATTTAGTCAATTAGTTTTCCAATAATCACAAGTTAGGCAAAGTAATCACGAAAATATTTTCTGATGTTGTTTTAGCATAAAAAAGGAAACGTTCTTGATTACCTCACAAAATGAAAAAGAGCAAAGAAATGTTAAAAAAGTTCTCTCATCTTTTGTAAAAGAAAAATAAATGAAAGTAATGAAAGAGGAGATAGAGTCTATGAGATTAAACTGTGTTTGGGAATTGGTTGATCATCCTAAAGGACGCAAAGTGATTAGGAACAAATGGGTTCTCAAGATTAAGCGTAAGTTAGATGAGATAATTGAAAAATATAAAGCCCATCTGGTAACAAAGGGATATACTCAATAAGAAGGAATTGATTATAAAGAAACTTTTTCTCTTATTATGAAATTTACCTCAATACGTTTAATTCTAGCTATTATAGTCAGCTTAGATTTGAGGTTACACCAAATGAATGTGAAAAATGCCTTTCTAAACAAAAAACTAGAAGAGAAAATATATATGAAACAATTTATAGGTTTTCTTGACAAGAGCCAAGAGCACAAAGTGTGCCAGTTGTTAAAATCGATTTATGGCTTTAAACAATCTTTCAGACAATGGTCATGATTAATGAGGACCAATGTGTATATGTCAAAAAAGATAAAGATAAATTTGTGATCTTGTCATTTTATGTAAATGACATACTATTACCTAGCAATGATAAGAAGTATATTACTAAGGTGAAAACTTGATTGTCCTTAAATTTTTGAAATGAAGGATATGGGCAAAACAGTTTACATACTTGGTATAAAAATTATGAGAGATCATTCCAAAAAGTTGTTAGCTCTTTTACAAGAGCAATACATTAAAAAAGTTTTAGAATGATTCAATATACAAGACTACAAGCCAATAGATACTTATATGGCAAAAGGTGAATGCCTTAGCTAGAGAATATGTCTTAAGACTCCACAAAAAAAGGAATAAATAGTAAGAGTTTCTTACTCTAGTATTGTTGGAAGCCTTATGTATGCTATGATGTGCAAAAGGTCGGAGATCTACTATGTATTGGGCATGGTAAGCAGATATCAATCCAATTCAGAATAACCTCATTGGAAATAATTAAAAGGATATTGAGATATTTAAATGACACTGTGGATTATTCATTATGCTATTAAGAAAGTGATATGCATTTGGTCAGCTATATAGACACTAATTAGGAAAGAGATTTAGATAAAAGAAAATCTACCTTTGGCTATATTTTTTTATTGAATAGTATGACTATTTCGTGTTGTAGAAAAAAATAAACTTGTATAGTACTGTCCACAATGAAAGCTGAATTTGTAACATTTTCAACGACAGTATAAGAGGCTGTTTAGCTTAAGAGATCTTTGAATCATTTAAGTTTTGAAAAGAATGAGTCTAACTTAGTGTTAGTGAATTATGATAGTCAAGCTACAATTGCATTCACAAAAGATCTCAAATATCATTTTAAGACTAAACATATAGATATCAAGTATAACTACATGAGAGATATGGTTGCACCAAAAAAAAGTTAACATGCAGTAAATTTTGATGCATAAGATTATTATATATTCATTTCCTAAGCCCATACCTAGAGATGTCTTTAAATACCACATGAGATCTTTAGGATTATGTAAATGTTAAAGCATATATACTGATTGAACAGTTTTATATGAATAATATATGATATTTTTCCTTTTGAGTTGACCTATATTGAATACAATTAATACTATTAAAGTTTAGTACTTTATTTTGAGATGCATACACACATGTATATATAAATGTCCATAGATGATATGAGACAAAAAGTATGTTTGATAAATGATTGACTTTCTCACATAAGTAATTGCCTCAATAGTTTAGCACCATAGAAATGATATTAGTTTTAAGCTATGGATTTAGAGCTTAAGCTTAAAATAAAATCACCTTGATAAGGAATCAAGATGAGGTTACTCAATATTGAGATTTGTGATCGAAAGTGAATAAACCTATAATTCACTTTGCCTGTCTTAGTATGCCAAGTAGAAGTCTTGTTGATTAAATGAAATCAAGTAGAGTTGTAGACTCAAGTTAGATATTGAAAGTATCCGAATTGTCACTTGTATGGTTTTGATATATAAATGATGAAAGACATACATTCTTCAGGAAAAAGAGAGTAATATCATAGCATGTGTTTTATACCACATGTGCATTGTTTGACTAACAAGGGTAACAAAAGAATAGATCTTTGTTTCTTGCTGTGTAAAACCTTTGAAGATCTTATATTTAGTACCCTCAAGGATTTTTGACTGTTTATTAAAGTTAGTTCAATATTAGCTATCTTGGATTGTTGACAATAGTTATGGATGATTCAATCTAATGGGACATATCTAGATAGTAGTTGAATTAAAATTGAGAGATTTTAGAAGAAAGGAAGATAATTCTAGTGTCACATTTGATTGTATTCACAGGTCGATCAATTATGTTCGAATTGTCGAATATAATATATATACAAAAAAAAAATAATGATTTTAGGTTAAAGAATAGTTTATGTACAAAAAGACTATGGTTTTTTCATAAAAGCATAGTCTATATATACAAAAAATTACAGTTTTTCATAAAATGTAGTCTATATACAAATTTATACAAAAAGGATTAAGATTTTTTGTAAAAACATAATTTATATATAAAAAAAAGATTTAAAAAATTACTATTTTTCATAAAGAGCAATCTATATAAAAAATTATGGTTTTTCATAAACATTATTATTGTCATATATATACATCAGGTTAGGAGATTTCAGTATTGTTTGCCTCTAAAAAACTATATATTATATAAAAATTTTAACCTAAAAGAATTGAAATCGTGAAAAAGTTATTGTAAAACTATGGTTGTTGTACTTTTAACGAATAATTCTACTTTTAATTTAGACATATTACGAAATATTATAAATACAGATAATAAATAACATAAAAGCTATAATAATTAATGCTATCAGTAACTTCAAAAAATGATCTATAACAAATAGTTTTAAATAACAAAAAAAAGAAAAGACGAGTATAATAATGGATAATATTTTTTTATTGTAGTTAAATAAAATTTATTAAATTAATAGACCCTACAAAATTATGTTAAACGAATTGAGAAAACTAAGAAAACAAATTCATTTTGCATTTGAAAATCAATAAGCTTATGATTGGTTGATGTAAATTGTTTATTTATTTATTTAAAATATAAATAATATTTAAAAATTCGAAAAGTTATAGTTAAATAAGAAAATCTTTATCATTTATGTTAAATCAAATTTAAATATAGTTATTTATTTTATTTAACATGTAAAATTAGTTTTATTTTGTTATATAAAAATAACATTACAAAATAGTTAACAAAAATCACTTTTCTTTTGTAATTTTAAGTGACTAAAAATGGTTACGTGATCTAAAACTGCAATTAATAGAGGATTAATGAAAAAAAGAATTACTAAAATTCTATTTCTCACCAATCAAATGCCTCCTAAAAGGAGTATATTGCAAATAATTATTACATTGTAATCAAACAATTAAAATTAAAAATTGTGTGAATTTATCAAAACTTTTAATGAAATCCATATTTATAAGTGATAAATTTTTATATAATTTTTTTATTATAGTTGAATAATTATATGATTACAATAAAAAAAATTAAAAGTAAAATTGCAATTGATTGATATATTAAAAAGATAAAAAGAAATTTTACACTCAAATAAATAATTTTGCTTTTGCATGATATTTATTTTAAATTTTTTTTAAGCAATAAAAAAAATGAAAACAAAAGATAAATAATAAATAATAAAAATATCAATCAATAAAATTTTAAATGTTTATTTGATATTACATTTTTCTATGTTAAAAATTGCTTTTTGTTTGACATTAAAAGGTAATGTCAAACTATTTATCCAAAACAAAAGCAATGTCAAACTCACTAGAATTTTAGTTTTTTTTTTTTTTTAAATAAAGGGATATAGCATTGGGAATATATTTTAATTTATTTTTTTTACTCATAAAGATAAATTTAATACTAAAAAGTTCAAGAAAGAAAAATAATGATTTAGTCAGAGTGAGCGTACTACTGTCCGAATATGCACGTCCGAAGGAAAAGAGTGCTATGTGCTATGCACTGAGCCAAAGAAGCAAATGGGGACCACTTGTTTTTAACTAATTGGTCAGTGGTCACCCATTTTTAGTTTTTTCCTTAACGGAATTATCACTCAAGGAAAAAAAAAGTTAAAGTTATTGGGACCGGAGACAGACAGGAACGCTCGACTAAATTTGACAATATGTTAAAATACATTAAAAAGATTTGAAAATGATGTAAATTAAAATTTTAATAAAAATTAAAAAATATATTATATATTTTATAAATTATAACATATAATTTTTGTATAAATTAAAATAAAAATAAATAAATTATCTGTATTTTAGGTAAAAAAATATAAATGATCAAATCTGCAAACAAGTCAGTCAGGGAAGAAACAAAAGCTTTCTCTCTCTTTGTCTTCTTCTTTCGAAAAAGAAGAGCATTCTCCAAAACAAGCATACCCCCCAAAAATCAACCATCCCCTTTCCTTTCCTCTTCTTCTTTTTCTTCTCTCTTTGTCAGTCAGTCATTTGTAGTTTCTCCAGCTTCTACAGACTAAGAATCTTTCACCATGTTCCTCTGTTAGCTTAAGTCTATCCTTCTCTGCTTTGATCTTTGCACATTTTACCCACATTCCAATCTAGAATTTGTAAGTCATTTCACATTTTCACTTGCATTCTTTCTTTTTCTCTTCTGGGTTTTCTTTTTCCTTTTTCTTTGTTCATATTATTCCATTCCATGCATGGCACTTTCACCACTTGCTGGTTTTGGCTATCATTTTCTCTGGGATGGTGATTTCTTCTGGCTTTCCACTTTTTTTTCCCCTTAATTGTAATAATCAATGGGAATAATGTATAGGTTGGGTTTTTTTTTTGTGTTGTTTTTAGCAATGATGGAAGGGGAGAAAAATTAAATTTGGGTAAGAAGTGGTAATGTAGGTTGGAAATTATTTGAATGTGGTTTGGAAAAACTGGCAACAGGTAGCTGCTGGTGATTTCTTCTGGCTTTCCACTTTTTTTTCTCCTTAATTGTAATAATCAATGAGAATAATGTATAGGTTGGTTTTTTTTTTTTTTTTGTGTTGTTTTTAGCAATGATGGAAGAGGAGAAAAATGAAATTTGGGTAAGAAGTGGTAATGTAGGTTGGAAATTATTGGAATGTGGGTTGGAAAAACAGGCAACAGATAGCTGCTTTTGTAAGTAAAAAAATAAAATTGTTGCAGTCCAGTTCATAAAGGGAGATAATATCTCCTTTTATTATTACAAAGAAAAGATGATACTAATACTGTAATTGATCATTTTTTTTTTTTTTTTTTGAATTTATCCTTTATTTGTTGTGAGATGCATATATTTTAATCTATCTTTCCAGCTTAAAGGTCAAAGCTTTTGTTTTTATTTTTCTGAATAGTTAGAAATTCGAAGACCGTTTGGTCAAATATGGATGTAAGTAGAAATTTTGGAGTTGTAGCTGAATCTTGGTGCTTGATAAGTGCTTATCTGCAGAAACTTCTACTTGCTGACAATAGATTTATGCAGTTTTCCATTTTGCTTTTAATTCTTTCAATCTTTATTCTTTTTTTTTTCTTTTTGGTTGAGTCAATTTGCTTTTGTTACCCAAATATAGACCGTGTGTTTCTCATTAGCTTGATTTGAGTTTTGCTGTTGCTTGATGGTGGTTTTGCCAAAAATCGTTACTAAATGCAAGATTTCACTAACTATGTTTAGGTTCAGACTGTGATTTTCTGATCCATATGCTTTTCTATTCAATGAATAAAATATAAATATTGTGTAAGATTAATTATGGAAATTAATTTTGAGGTGAAATTTAAATGTTCCTGAGTTCTTCATCTTCCTAAGATCTACGATTAAGAAAAATGATGTTTTATTGTTTTGCTAGAGGTCTGATCATAAGGTTGTTTCTTTTTGTGCTTATTTCTAAGGAGTGGAGAACGGACCTAAAAATGACGAAGATAAGTCCTGAAATTGATGAAACAGTGCTGACAGAATCAATTCTGGCTGTTTCCGCTGATGTGAGCTTTGCTTCTGACCACTTTCCAAAGTATAAATTAGGACCTGACAATCAGATTTTGGAGGAGCCAAGAGGGGACAACAATGGTCCATCACTGAAGGAGGTTGTTGAAAGGGAAACAACACAATTATCTGAGCAGCACAAGCGGCTTTCAGTTCGCGACCTTGCTAGTAAATTTGACAAGAACCTTGCGGCTGCTGCAAAGTTGGCTGATGAGGTTCCCACCATTTTATTTTGTTTGCTCCAATATTTTCGAATATAGAGAAGCAAAAAATCTTCTTTCTAACATTCAGCATGTAGTCTCAGACTCTCAGCTAATTGGGAGTCATGAGCCATCCACATGGTTCTCTTTTTTCCATTCAACTCGATCTGGAATTTTCCAGTACCTGGATGGAAGGCATCATGTAGTTCAACAAAAAATTTAGTTCCCTCTGTAGTTTCTTTATTTAACTACTTTTTTTCCCCCTTATCTGACGACAATATCAAATTTAATGAGATGGATGATTAAGTCATTAAGTGTATTACACTCATTTTCTTGGAGTTCAGGCCAAACTTAGAGAGGTTGCTTCTTTGGAGGGGCATGTTCTTTTGAAGAAGCTTAGAGATGCCTTGGAATCTTTGAGAGGTCGAATGGCTGGGAGAGACAAGGAAGATGTAGAGAAAGCTATCTCCATGGTTAGTTGTTTTGCTTTACCATTTTTTTTTTTTTTCACGAAGCCTGTTGTTTGAAACTTAATGTGTCACACCTGTCACAAATAGCTGTGTTTTATTCAAAATTTTGAAGCAGGTTGCTGCATAGTGTTTCAATTCTGCAACCTTTCTTTTTCATGATATAAGATAATCATGTGGCACAAAGTCACTTCATGCTCTCATATGAACAATAAACCATATTCCTTTTTACTCTTAGTTTATGCAGGCTAGCTATACCAGCTAATATGGCCAATCTGATTCTTGTTTTGTAGTTTATAGCTCTTTTTTCCTCCTAGGCATGCCTAAGTTATTGCACTGAGCCTTTTCCTTATGCATTGAATAAAAATGATTATTGCATGGAAGACATTCAAAACCGCTTGTCATGCCAAGGTAGAACATTATTTTGTGCCTCTATAACATCACAAGGATAAATCCTTATTTTCTATACACTTCATGACCCATATAAATACAGATAGGTCTAGCATCTCTAAATTCAGAAATTATTCTATTATATGAATATCTCAGGGGAAGTTTAAAAAAAAATTAATGCTTCAGGCTCTTTTCTCTTGCGAAATTATTAAGGAAAACTACCAAATGAAAGCAAGAAGAAAAAGCTTGCCAGTCCTTTAGCTGTTATGTATTTGTTTAGTTTTAATTTACAGATGATAGAATCTATTAGGAGCTAGAACACTCAGTCAAATCAAATTCTAATTGGTATCCCGTTTTATGTGAACTATAATATGCTTAAGTGTATGCTCCAATGGATCCAATTGATCTGAGCTATGTTCCAAGCATTTTTTGGTATGTTCTAAGTGTGTACATAAACATTCTTCATTGAAAGAAGTGTGTGCATAAACATAAATGCTCATTCAACTTAACAAGTGAATATTGAATAAGCAGAGAGAAGTCGACTATGCATGCTTCCTTGACCATGCATTTCATTTTCACATTTTTATGATAACTTATTATTTTCATGCCAAATTATCTATTTTTTCCAGTATTAAACGTATTCTTTGAGACCAAATAGACATGTGTATGTGAGTGAGCTTTGCATAGTCATTCATGTATGTGCATTCTCACCAAAGGAATTTTCTTCTGCATGATACAAAATTTTGTCTATGAACTGGATGAATCTTTTTATTGAAGATATTCTACGTCACAATTTTTTTAGCTATACCTATCTTCTTTTTCCTCTTTTTAAAACATTCAGGTTGAGGCTTTAGCAGTTAAATTGACTCAAAAAGAAGGAGAACTGATTCAAGAGAAGTTTGAGGTGAAAAAACTGGCAAACTTTCTCAAGCAGGTCAGTTCATGGCAGTCAAGTTTTGGATTGTGTGTGTTTTTCTGATTTATCATGATTCAGCATGTTTTCTATGTGGAAGGATGCAATTTAAAAATTCTAAAGGCAGACACAAGTCTATTTCCTGTATAAAGACTTGATTTGATTTAAACATTTTCATTTTTAAGGCCTGGTTAAGTCCAGTGCCTGGAGCAATGTTTTTTTTTTTTTGGCTTTTTACTGTTCTTTTTGGGTCCAAAACTGTTGATTCTCTTCATGTGTCAAATGAAGATCGGCCCTGTCAAAAGTTTGCAGTTTGAATTTTTATGTTCTGCTTTTCTTTGTTAAAAAAAAATCTCTGGCCATTGTAATATTGCTAATGCACTTTTGTATTGCCTGCTTTTAAAATTTTCCTTTTGAAGGATCATCTGTTTTAATTTTTACTGAATCAAATTTATTCTTTTACATATGCAGGCTTCTGAAGATGCTAAAAAGTTGGTAAATCAAGAAAAATCTTTTGCTTGTGCTGAAATTGAAAGTGCTAGGGCTGTAGTGCAGCGATTTGGAGAGGCCCTTGATGAGCAAGAAAGGAATACAGAAAATTCTCAAAAAACACAGGTTTCATTGAGTTGTTTAAGTTAGTTTTCCTCCTAATTCATCAATTTCCAAGATGAGAAAAGGTTTTTAGTCCTACTTTTAATGCCTAGTATATAGTCCAACTAGACACAGCATAAAACCATAATTGCACACTTGCACTTAATTAATAGTTTGGGGCTGTGTCCAGTCAGATGCTATTTTAGACTGCAAATTCAGATTATGTAATAATGATCTTCATAGACAGTATTTCAAAATATGGCTTGTATTTAACCAAGCTTTCCCTTGTGTCAAGGGGTGTCAACAAGAATGATAAAAGAGTGTTGATACCTTTTAATTTGTAACTTGCTTTTCATAGACATTATTGGAAACCGTGGCTTGTATTTAACCAAGCTTTCCCTTGTTGCAAGGGTGTCAACAACCATGATAGCAGAGTGTTGATACCCGCTTTTAGCCTGAAATCATGGGGTGTTGAAACCTTGAACTTATTTCTCTTATTTTCACGTAGAAACCTTTTAAGGTTTGTACAAGGTATAATCATTAAGAAAGTCGAATAAATAAAAATACTAGGTGAGTGCTTAGGATGAGATATTGGTTGTAATAGGGGATTGGAAGAGAGATAAACCTCATTGTAATCTCATACCATTGGTAGTGAACGTCTTCTTTCTTGCTCTTGTATGTAGGTAATAGGTTCTTGGACCATGTATTTCTTTTGTGTGGTCTTATGTAACTGTAATTGTAATTATCTTGTGTTGCAATTTTGGTTTGGAATAAGGTCCAAATCATAACAAATATATACAGTATGACATTTTTTTTTAGAGTATTTTGTCTTTTATTTTTTGTATTTTGGAAGAATATTGCTTGGATTTGATTGATGTCTTCTGATTGAATAATACTTGATTTAAAAGAGTACATAAATATATAAGACACATACACACACTCACGTTGGCTATTGATGGCCTATTTTATACATGTATGCTGTTAACATACGAAACAATGCTATGTAGAGCATGGAAAGTAAATTTTACCAATATTTCTATTCAGTGCATCCATTTCAAAAATGCATTTATTTGTTATTCTAAGTTGTTTTGATCATTGGATGCTTGTGTATCTCAACTTCTAATGTTTAGTAAGCATAGCAGATTTGTAAATGCTAAAAATCCTTTTGTACACATGATTCATATCAATACAATTATTTTACTCCTCTCATTTATATTTTAGTTCCTGGAATCCCAATTATATGGCTATTATATACTTATTACTGTCAGAGTTCTTTTCAGTTTTTCTCTTTTCACTTCATTTCCTAATAAGGAAATCCATTAGTCAGCACAGAATTATGGTTCTGGATGTTTGTTGGTGGTATATCTGTTAACTTCAATTTTATTTGACTAAAAAGTTTTAGTTTTGTTTTAGTGGATTGAATATTCAAGGGTTAATGCCATGAATGACCCCTAAACTATAGTAAAATGTTCAATGTGATACTTGAACTTTAAAATTTTCTAATGTGTTACCTGAATAATGAATCTATTAACTAAAGTGGCACTTGGAGGGTTGTTTGTCCGCCATGTGTCATCATTTAAAGCTAGCCACATTAAGGGTGAGTACAATATTAGTTAATAGATTCATAGTTAAAGTACCACATTAGAAATTTTTAAAGTTCAGGTATCACATTGAACCTTTCACTATAGTTTAGGGGCTATTCATAACATTAACCCAATATTCAATGTATTAAAATATTCTTATTATCCTTCATTCTTGAATTTATATTGGAAATTGATCCTTTTCTATGTATGCACATGTATGTATACTTTGGGTTACATTGGAAATTGCCTGTCATGTGATTAAAACAGGAGATACATGTCAAAGATAGGTTTTCTGCATCATGTTTGATATTTTTATGTTAAAGATGGTACATATTTTATTAATCTTTGATGTTATGTCTTGCAGGAGATTGAGGAGCTAATAGAGGAAGTTCAAGAGGCTAGAAGAATTAAATTGATGCATCAGCCAAGCAAGGTGCGTTAGTATAGTCTCCTAGGTCTTGTCATTGCACTAACATTTCTAGAAAATGCAGGTAGCAGAGCATCAGTTCTGTTGTATCAGATTATAGATATTTTTGTTGATAATCTCTAAATTTGGATATTTGTCTGTTTCAGTTCTCTTATGCATTATAATTGTTGCTTTATACAAAACTTTTATCTTTGATTTGAAGAGAAAGTTTTCTTTGCTTTTTGTTGCTTTGAATCAAAATGTCCAAATTCTTAATTTCTATTTGATCAGACAACTACTTGAATTGAATGAAATGGCTTTCATCAATTTAGTGAAATACTATTCGAAAAAGGGTATTTATAAGAAGTGGCTTTGTCTTATCTTAATTACATGCATCTCTTTCTCTCTCTCTCTCTCTCTCTCTCTCTCTATATATATATATATATATATATATACACACACACACACACACACACACACACACACACATGTAAACTAGGAATCCGTATAAAGTTAGTTGTACCCTTTCATATCTTTTTTATGATATATATTTCGTTAATCCAACCATTGGATTTTATGCTCTATTTATGTAAATCATGCATGCTGATTTTTGCTGATTTTTTTTTTTTTGGTACAAAGGAGGCTATAGCCTAAGAATAGAGGAAGGGGTTGCAGGTATTGGGAATTGAATCCTAAACTTGGTATATGCCACCTCTTAAGGGTGGTTGCATGAACTAATTGAGTTAATTTCCGGGTTCGCTTGCCAGATTTCAAGTTAATTGAAAATATACTATTTACTTGATGACGATAAAATTTGAACCATTAAATTTATATTGATAAAGATAGTATTTTCAATTGATGTGATGTAGATACCTGATTGATTTGAAATTCAATGTGCATGATGGGTTTGAAAGGATTTTTAAATCCAATAGTTGGTTTGTTAGAATATTCATTGAACTGGAAGTTATAGAAGAGAGAACGATAGGAATTGTTACACAGGTGCAATTTGACCCCTCCTCTATGTAATCACATGATTGAATGTGTACATCATTGAATAAAAACATAACTAAAATCTGCATCTAATAAATAACTTGGTCTCATAGGTTTTAGGAACTTAGTGGCCAACTGATTGGATCATCATCTGTAGTGCTTAGTGAACATATTGAGGCTTTAATTGCAATACTGTTTATTACCCATGCCATTAATTAAGTTAATGTATCGGATTCATTACTGATTGTCATCTGTAGTGCTTAGTGAACATGTTGAGGCTTCAATTGCAACACTGTATATTACCCATGCCTAGCTCTTTCCATTCTTTCCCATAATAGTGAATTTCTTTGCCTCTTTCTTTCTTATAATATATGACATTGAACATGACACTTTTTTGGCTTTTTTAAATTAGCATCTTTTGTTGTGGTACCTATTTGGTGATTTGCTTGTATTTTCTGATTTTTAATATTATAGCCACACATTAATGATTTAATGCCTAGCTATGCTACAAATGATCACTTGCTATTCTTCATTTATTAATCCTCTTGTCACAAATTATAGATCTATTTTCATGTTCTAGTTTTCTCTTACCATTATTTATATTGCTTGGCTACATTTTACATGCGCATTTTAGTAGATGAAATTTTATTGTTAGATATATGGTTGTGATATAATAGCAGCTTTTGATCATTGGAATATGTGTCATATTTTCAGGTGATGGATTTGGAGCATGAACTTCGTGCACTAAGAAATCAAATTCGAGAAAAATCTATATTCTCAATAAAGCTTCAGAAAGAGGTCTGTTGAACTTTTATCTTACAATAATACCTTTAGACTGGCACTCGGTACTTTGATGATAAATATAATAGATGCCTCTTTCATGACACTCTTTAGTATCAGTTGCACCTATGGTTGTGGGTACCGTACTGGTACCAGTCTTATTGGCTGGTACATGACAGTTTTGAAGAAAACCGGTACACCACAATAATTTTTAGTTTTGCCCTTAATACTGGGCTCCATCAATTTTGTAAGGCTGGTTTGCCTTGTTTCATTTGTGTTGGCCAAAAATTTTCATTTTGATTGCCGGAAGATTTTGCCTAATTACTTTCTTTTTCTTTTTCCAAATTTTTTGGACCTATTTGACTCTCTTAATTAACTCAATTTTCTTTAAAATTAGGCTATTGGACATGTTTAATGATAATTCTTAATATCTTTAAATTTGCCTCCTTTATTTGATGTTTGGAAATTTTAGACAATAAATATTAGTATAGTTTTTAGGACTTGAATTTTCATTTATATAGAGGTATGCATGTATATGTACATATACAATATAAGGGTGTTTATATCTATATATATTTGAAAGAAAATAATGATATAATTAGGGATGATAATGATTCGGTTTGGTTGTTGTGGTTAAAGTTATGAATTTTCAAAATCAATCTGAATCTGAATCCGAACCAAACTTTCTTTGAAACCAATCTGATCCAAATCGAATTTTAAAAATTATTTTTAAAAAAAAAGTTGTTATAAAACTAATATATATATATATATATATATATTAAAACTAATATAAATGTATATAAATTTAAAATATATATAAAACAAATAAAAATATATAATCTGGTTCAATTCTGATATTTTTTATTTTCTTACTTTCCAATCCAAAAATCAAACCGAATAAAGAAACTAATCAGAACCAATCCCAACACTATCGTCTCAAATTGGTTTTCTCAAATTTTTTTTTAACACTAGATATAATGCCAATAAATTTGAAATGGTGAGCCAAACCAGTATGATACATGGTACATATCATTTTAAAAGCATGAATAATGTATAAAAATCCAATTAGTCTTATGTGGCTCTAGGGCTGTAAACAAACCGAACATGAACGAATAAATGTATGTTTGTGGTTAGTTTATTTATTTTTAGAGGTGTTCGTATTTAGTTTGTGTTCACTAAGAAAATTATTTTGTTCGTTTGTGTTCGTTCATTTAAATAGTAAGTGGTTTAGCGTCAATTTATGTTTGTTTAATAAGTTAAATGAATTCGTTCGTGAACATGTTCGTTAATGTATTTACGAACATATATAAATGAATGTATTTATGTGCAATAAACAAATCATAATCAAACAAATTTAAACAAACAAACCCTAACAAACATAAACGAGCCCAAAAAAATATAAATAAACCTTAAAATAAAATTAGGGTAAAAGATAAAAATATAATTTTATTAGTATTATTATAAACGAATAGCAAATGAATAATAAACAAATAATAAATGAATGAGTTTTAAACTAACTTTAAATGAATTTGTTCATGAATATAAACGAACCAAACAGACCTTTGTTTGTATTAGTTCGTTTAATAAACGAATATAAAAATGTTGTTCAAAACCGTTTATAAAGCTTAATAAACGAATATAAATGAATAGAAACCGAATATGTTCACGAACAATTTATCGAAAACTTTGTTCATTTACACCCTACGTGGCCCAAAACTCAAAAAAACCAATAAGCTTTCCTATTTTTTATTGTTTAAAATGTTTCAAATTGCACTTTCTCTTTGTGCACCTTCATTTTTCTGCCTTTCTTTTCCTTTTGTCTTCTCTTTTTTATCTCTTGTTTCTTTTTGAAATTACAAAATCCATGCTTCCATGCTTCCTTTTGTTCTCTATTTAATCTTTTCCCTTTTTTTTTCCTCTTTTTATTTTGAAGTTTTAATGTTGGGTTTCTCTTTCTTTTGAGAATTTGGATTCTGGACCCTAAATTTTAAAGATCTAGATTGTGTACCATGAGGTTTGAGGTTGGAAAAGTACCACAATTCGGATCCTAATTTTAGGTATCCATATTTTCAAAACAAATAGGAACCCAATCTAACATGCAAAACAAAAACTAAAAGAATAAGAGCGAAGATTGAAAAGAGAACAAGAGAAAACTAGATTCTAGAATGTTAGAAAGAAAGTGAAGACAAAAGAGAGAGACAAGAAGAGTGAGTAAGACAAACAGAGGTGCACAAAGAGAGAGGAGTTGAAAATTTTAAAATAATGGTTAAAAACAAGAAAGCTATTGATTTTTAGGCTTTTGGGCCACTTGGACCTAATTAGATTTTTAAATTCTAATGATGCTTTTAAACATGATACGCATTTTTAAAACATAAAAAGCCGCATTTATGTTTTATGAATTGATACTTAGAAGCACATGTACAATATTTTTAGAAAAGGAAAAACCAATTGTAATTTTTTAAAGGAAAAAACACTTCTATAGTCCTCCAACATCTTTTATTAAATTAAAATAATTAATTGTAATAGCTTATAATCAACCAAATCAAGCTATGAGTGACTAGATACTTTAAAGAGTTACTATGGTACCACGAACTAAGAATACCACTCTCCTAGTAACTATGGTTTGAAATAGAATGTCTAGGTGGTGAAATAGAGTTAAGAGGAAAGTGCAAAAAACTCTTGCATGTGAGATTGATGCTCTTACAAGATTAGGATAAGGCATGTAAATAGGTAAAAAGGTGTACTTAATACAACTATGGGCTCGTGATAGGTTACTAGATTGAAATCTGTTGAATACAAGTCCTTCAAGGAAAATGAATAATTCGAGTAATTAACATAATTTATTTGAGATTTTATCAAACAAAAAATTTAAAATAGTCACAAAGATATAAGGAGATAAGTGTAATCAACTAAAAGGAAAAACAACATACCTTTGGTACTTGGTTGAAGATTTAGAACCTTGTTGAGAAGGCCTTTTTTTTTTTTTAAGTTTACATGAATGTGATTTAATATTTGTGACAAGTCTATTACTTTTAAGGATTTGTGAATAATTATTATAGTTACAATAAATAGACAAATAATAATGTGATTTAAATTCTCTTAAATTTCAAAGCATAAAATTAACTTAAAGATAAAAATGTAAAATTAACAAATAACAATTTTAATGTGAGAGTCAATTTAATTTAATTTAATATAAACATATATGAAATAATTATAGGATATAGTATATATTAAAAGGTTTTCAAAATTTTTTTGGGGGCTCCTAAGCTCAAAGGATGTTCCACCACTGTGTCATGTGGCAATATTCACACATGGGCGTTGTCAAACATTTCAAAGGAATAGATAACCTTTTAACTAGCACCATATTTGACCCCATTAAATCAGCACTCTCTACTATATTGCATAATAATCTATAACTGACCAAGGATGTTGCTACTAATTAGAGGGTACTCCCTTTAAGTAACTAGTTGTTGATGAAAATGTGCAATATTTGCAAGTAGTAGTTGTAGATTATATGATGTAGAACAATTAGGAGAAAATGGAATATAGTAATCTAGATGAAAAATCAGAAATAGACTGAAACAATTAGGGAGAAACAGAAGAAATGGGGGAGTAATGGAAGGTAAGAAACTAGAAAAGAATCAATAAAGGGAGAAAACGTTAATACTCATCTCAAGAACTCAAATATTCATCATTTAAGACCTAATTGAAACTAAAATAACATAGGTAACTAAACCCAAAACCCTAATAAAATGCAAAATACCAAATATAATCCTAAAGCCTTATACTTTGAAAAGAAGTAAATCCTATGTTAACTCAAGTGTAGATAAACAATACAAGAAGGGGTGAATTGGATTATTTTCAAATTTTTCCAAAATTAAAGTTAAATAAATATTTGTGAAAAAATAATAATATAAGAAATATATGTGAAATTAAACCCAAGTGCAATTGAAATCAAATGGAGAAGGAATAGAAAAAGCAAACTTAATGATTTATAGACGTTTAGTCATTCCTTTAAGCACCTACGTTCTCTCTCTTGGCTTGCCAAAATGTCTAATCCACTATATCAATAAACTTACAAATGCCTTTTCCAGGCTTAAGTATAACCTTTACAACCCTCATAATTAATCAAAGAAACTCAAAAATTCTATCAAAAGGGTACCTCACCTCTTAACCACTCAAATTCTAAGAACTTACAAGTGTTTTTGCAAAGATATCGACCTCTCAAAGGTTGGGTGTTTGCCAATTAAGTACAAAGAAGAGTATTATAAAGATATAATACAAAAGATGAAGAATTTAAGCTTAAAACAATTGGGTTCTCTTGAATCCTTGAAAAAATGAAGATATGAATTTTTAGTGCTTGTGCTCTTGCGTCACAAATGTGTTGGAGTACCATTTATTGCTTGAAATGGCTTTGGAGCCGTTGTAGAAGGTTGGAGCAAAAAGTAGCTATGATTTTTTTGAAGAATTTGATTGTTGGCTGCTAAACTAGTTGATGAGATTGATCTCTAGAATGAGAGGATCAATCCCTTGAAGGATCTTCTTCAAGGATAGCTTTCCTCTAACACGGGATCAATCTCATCTGAAAGGGGTTTGATCTCTTCCAATAAACTTTAAGTTTTGCTTAACTTTTGCTTTTCAAAACTTGGTTTGTTTGATTTTTATTTCCTTTTTAATTGATCATTTTAATGTTTAAAAGTACTTACTTGTGGGTTGATTAAAAACAAATATTTGAGATAAAAATGCATAGGGTATTGGGAAACTTGTATGTTATTTTAAAAGAAATATTAACCAAGAATATTGTTTAAGCTCAATAGAAATATTTTTCTTTTTAAATTACTTGGACTTTCATTTTAGCTCAACCTTAAAAATATATATTTTTTATTTTTAATTTTCTGCAAAATTTGATATGTTAAAGAAAATATTAGAGCTCAACATCATTTTTCCTTTAAAGAATAAGAGCTCTAGTCAAGTAATGCACATTGGCAAAATTTTCTTTTCTTGAAATCAATAATTCGAAAATTATATTACGGCGAAGGGAGTAAATTTTCTTTGACTATCAATTGTACTTTTATTTTCAAGTAAAATGCATAGAAAATTTTCTTTTCTCCAAATCAATAAAATCAAATTTATATTAACCAATGAAAATATATATTTTTTTAAATATCAATTGTACTTGCATTTAAAGATTAAATATTGAGAGTTTATGGCTTGGTGGTATCTGTTGTTGAATGGAACTTGTTGGTTGTTGTGTTCTCTGCAAGGGAGAGGTATTGCCTTTTGTTTATTTTAGTTTGTTTTTAGTTTGTATCAGAGATTTAAATAGTGGTTACAGTGGCGGTCACATTTTCGGTCGCATCACATTTATCTCGTTTTTTGATATAACGGAGACAATTGCAATTATTATGGTTGTGAATTTTTTTTTAAAAAATTTTGCGCAGTTTGTCATAAAATGTATTATTTATAATTATAATCATAAAAATATGATTTTTAAAGTAGTTTTTGACACTATGTTTTTTATTTTTTTAAAAAAATTATTCACAATTTTATTTAGGTTATAATAAAGCATTCATATTTGGTTTGGCAATAAATTATAAACTTCCCTCAATCTTTCTAACTAGATTTTTTCTAAAAGAATTTCAAAAATTAAAAATTAAAAATTTATATTTTAATAAAATTAATTACTAAATTAAAAAAAAAAAAAAAAAAACCTCACTCCCACAGTCCCACCCCCAAATTTCCATGAATCGTGAATCCTACCCAATTCTGAAATTCCCTCCTCAAGTCTTCTTCATGGCTTCCCTCAATTCAACAACTCAAACCTGCTCAAGTTTTCTTCTTCTCAATTTCTCTGCATCTCTCACTCTCTCTCACGTCTCTCTCTCGCCTGCTTCAACCTCCGCTCACCAACCACTCGCGTCTCCCTCTTCTTCTAGTCTCTCTACTTTCTCGGGATTTGCTCCATAAAACCCAGTCCCAACTCACTGTATACAAAGTACAGCATTGGCCTCATCTCTCTCAGATTCTTGGCAGTTGAAATTTTGGGTTTTTTTTTTTTTTTAACTTGAATTGGTGATAGGAAAACGGGAATAGCGGCTATAACGGACCGTGAACTGTTTCAAGTGTGATTAAATTTCACAACCGCATTTTCTCCGATAGTGGTGGCTAGGTGATGGTGCTACTGCAATTTCACAGCTGCTATTCTGCTATGAGACTTATATTTGATTCCTTGGTTTGTATGTCTCCTGGTCTGATAAGTGAAATGGGACTGTGATCATGTACTCGTGCTGTTTTCAAATTTACCAATGAGTAAAATTTTGGCTTTGCAGAAAAAAAAAAAAGAATAATCTTTAAAGCAAACTTTTGGTTTGAGAAATATACAAAAATCTTAAGCACATTTAGTTTGGAAAACAACTTAAAGTTTTTGTCATTTCAAAATAATGATAAATTTAAAGCTAAGATACTAATTAAATGTAAAATAACCTAAATATTTTAAAATATATATGAAAATTACAATTAAACCAATAAAATATAAAACATAGCCGTAGGTAATTTAATCACTCATCTAGCATATGTGCATCCTCTGTCATATGCTCATGTGTAAAATAATAAAATTATAACTACTCAAAAAATGCATATAAGGATGTTGCAAGAATGGTTACATATGTATGATATTAGGACAACAAAAAAAGTTGGTATTGAAATCATTTAAAATAATATAACAAATTTTATTATGCTTGGTTATATACTTGTATAATCTTTCAAAATACAGGTTTGGATAAAATGGTAGTAGCTTACCATTCACTAGTTAATCTTCTTAAAAAATGCTTATTGAATGAAACAAGAAATAGGAGCCAACTAGGTGAAGATCTGTGATAATGTTTAGGCAATTTCTGTGGTGCTGAAAGCCAAAGTGCATCCAACTGATAGCGCCAACCAAATGCCTCGTGGAAGTCATTAGGTTCTGTGAAAGTTGAATTTTGTAATATTACAATATTAGTTTAACTCAAAATATTGGAAGGTAGATGTCATGAGTAGGGAATCAAATAGCGGTCCTATAGCGGAATAACGGTCTCGAAATTGCAATAGTGCCACCAGCCACACCGTTATTGGGGAAAATGCGGTTGTGATTTTCAATCACACTAGAAACGATGCGTAGCAACTGCTGGAACATGGGGTATTAGGGAACGGTCTGTTATAGCGTTATCCCTTTTTTTCCCATCACCAATTCAAGTTTAAAAAAAAAAAATCCAACATAGTCAAGAATCTGAGAGATACAAGGTCGAGGTTGACTACAGTGATAGAGGGTCAATGGGTGTGTGAGAGGGAGAGTTGGGACTTGGGAGGCCGACTTGGGACTAGGTTTTATAAAGCAAGCCGCGAGAGTAGAGAGGCTGGAAGAAGAGGAAGACGTGAGTGGCTGGTGAGTGGAGGCTGGAGCAGGCAAGATGGAGACGTGAAAAAGAGTGAGAGATGCAAAGAAACTAAGAAGAGAAAGAAAACTTGAGCATGGTTGAGTCGTTGACTTGAGGAAGGCCGTGAAGACTTGAGGGAATTTGGGAATTGGGTGGGATTCAAGATTCAGCGAAATTTTGGAGTGGGATGGCTAGGTGGGTGGGGTGGGTTTTTTTTTTAATTTAGTAATTAATTTTATTAAAATATTAATTTTTAATTTTTGAAATTCTTTTAGAGAAAATCTAGTTGGGAGGATTGAGGGAAGCTTATAATTTGTTGTTAAACTAAATATAAATGCTTTATTATAATCTAAATAAAATTGTGAATAATTTTTTTTGAAAATAAACAACATAGGGTCATAGAATACTTTAAAATCATATTTTTATGATTATAATTATAATCATTACATTTTATAATAGATTATGCATAATTTAAAAAAATTCACAATCAAGATGATCGCAATAACTACAATAATCTCCGTTATATCTGAAAATACAATAAACATGACGCGATTGAAAACGTGACCGTGACCGCTATTTAAATCCTTGGTCATGAGCAATACTGGTCAAGTTGTAGCTGGATGTTAGTAGCTAATGCTTCTAATTCTTGAACATCATTTCCTGGCTTCCAACAAGGTCCTTGGTCAGTTTTAGCATATGTTTCCATATTAATATTCTGTACTGACTATCGTTACCCTGGTATGTTATCTCAAATAGTGCCAATCAAGCCTTTAATTTTAGTGAGTGGGATGACTTAGTCTGGTTATTGATAATTTCTGACGTTCGAATCTATGCATTGTTCATTGCAGCTGGCAATTAACAAGAAGGCTGAGGAGAACAAATCCCGTTTATATGCTTTGCATGGTTCTGAAACACTTGGTTCATGCTTACGACTCCAACCTTGCTCTGATAATGCTCCATTGCTTTCAAAATCTTCAATCCAGTGGTTTCGTGCATCACCTGATGGAAATCAAAGGGAAATAATTTCAGGTATCCATTCCATGAATCTTCTTTTACCTGCAAGTCTCTTAACTGCACTGAAGCTGATTTGGTTAACTATGTCGTAAAACATACTGTATGGTGAACTTTCTATCTTATGTAATTGAGATATTCTAATATGAAGATTTAGTGAACATAAGGCCGTGAAATAATGCTTTGAAGACTTCTGTTATTGTATGAATACTGCTTCTACAGCTGGAGTCTAAGAAACATCCTTTGCTTTTGTTAATTGGTTGTTAATTGTTATCAAAATAAAATAGTTGTAACAGTACTTTCCCACACAAATGACATACAGGCAGATTTACAAAGGTAACCCAATTACTAAAGGGTTTTCAAAAGTTATTTAATGTGCATTTAATTGCACTAAACTCTACCAGATGTCTATGTGTTCTTCTCTTTTTCTGGTTTCTTGCATTTCTGCCATTAACCCCAATATAACTTTATAAATATCCTACCCACCTTGTTAATTAGTTCAGGTGCCTATTCATCCTTCTGTAAGTAGTGATTTAGGTCTAAGTTAGGTGCATGAGGCAACAAATTTAAAAAATTACAGCTAGCTGTGCTGATCAGAGTTGCAATATATCATACTTGTGTCTTATCTAGTATAAGCATCTAAACACTCGTTGGAATTTTTAATTACTCACTTGAATAGGTTTGAAATATTGTTGCTGGATAACCTGTGTCATTTACTTTGCATCCTGCTCTATTAACTGGTTCGATTTTCTGAATCATCAGGTGCCAACAAAACAATTTATGCCCCAGAACCCCTTGATGTTGGTCGAATTTTGCAGGCTGACATTCTCTCAAATGGCCAAACAGTCTCCGTGACAACTGCTGCTCCTATTGATTCTGGTTCGTTTACATCCAAATGTACAATTTTACTTGTCAAATGTTTGTTCTCTTTCAGTGTTTGCTGCCAGCTTTTGATCTGTTCCTAATTATTTAATGTTAAAATTCATGCATGTTATGATCAAAAGTTAGATCATGCTCCCTTGCTGTTCTTATCCCTTGCATTAGTATATTGATGCTTATCAAAGAAGGCAAGAAATGCTGATAAAGTTACTTTTACAGCTGCAGGTTTGGGAGGCTACGTGGAGACACTTTTGCGAAAATCCAGCAGTGAATTTAATGTATGTTTGCTTCTTTCCAGTTAGTTACTCTTACTCTTGCCATGCTGCCAAAGAGACCGGGCAACTGGTTTAGAATTATTCCTATCAATTTGTCCATTAATGATATAATGATCCTTCTCTATCTGTGATTTTGTACTGGTAAATGAGTTTATTGATATGATTCTGGTCTCTAAGCCTGGTTTCAGATAGTTTATTTATAACCTTTGATTTCTCTCTGGAGATGGGGTGGATGATGCAAATTTGGGGCATTTGCCCTTAGGCTTAGCTAAAGTGATTGGAAAGTAGGGGCAGGTACAGATCCTAGGTTTGAGCCTTATAGTCTCTTCTTGTGCCCCTAAAAGAAAAAAGGAAGCTTTCGTCTATTCCAAAATGATAATTCTGCTAATTTTTGTTAGATAGTTCCTGCGACTTTGTCCACCTGCATATGTGATTACAAATAACAAAAAGCATATTTTAAATGTGCATTTGGCTGTTAAATCTTATCTGGCTATCATCTTTTAGTTTTAATTGCTGAAGTCTGTAAATTGCATCCTGTCATGAACAAGATTTAGTTTGTCATCCCTAGTTTGTCCATGATCATTCTATTTTGGTTGAGAGATAATGAGTTGATCCAGGATGGTAATTGATGATGCTTATGATTTATTTAGTTTTGTTGTCAAAATGGACAACGGAAATAATAGATCAAAATAAAGAGGGAGGGAACCTCTTTTTAATTGCTTGGTTTCCTAAATAAGGAAAACAACAAGAAACTTAATTATGCATCAGTTTCTTTTAATTGACAGATTGTATCTACTGTTTATATATGTGCTGCACTTCCTTGAAAAGGGTTTCCTTCAAAATCTCCAATATTTTTAGTGTTTTTACATTTACTAAAAATCTCCAATATTTTTAGTAAATGTAAAAACAGTTTTCTTCTGAGGGAAAGAAACTTTACAAATATTTACTTGTAATTTCTCTTCCCTTCCAATCCGTTGAATTTGAATCAAGAAAAAAAAAATCCTAAGTACTTAACTTTTCTTTCCGCCATAGTTTTTACTGAAAACAATTCTAAGATCGGTATTCTTTGAGTGCTCATTGTTTGTTGCTTCATTTTGCTAGTGCAAGGGCTGTGCTAGTCAAATTACTCCTAAGCTACCTAGACTCAACTTGCTGAATATTAACTTGACTTATTCATTGTCCAGCCACGCTTGAATAGAAAGTTGACTTTAGTTCAAGTATTTTAATATTCAGCTGAAGGAGCTGAAGGAGAAGGAGCTCAAGCGACTAACTTATCTTTCAATTTTTTATGATATGTAATTGCATTTTAAATCTAATATACATTTATAATAGAATTTTGGTTCTATTTCAAAAATAGAATATTTTTTATTTTCATTTGGGTTTAAGCTCAAGCTCAAATCTGAGCTCAAGTCTAGTTTGACCTTTTTATTCAAGTTGAATTTGAGTAGCTTAATTACTTTTTGAGCTGACCCTAATATAAGAAGTAAACTTGACTAAATTTAACCCAAGCTTGAGCTTTTCACTAGATTGGCTCAATTGCACCCCCTGGCTAGCACCAGCACTAGATGTGCAAAAAGTCAATGTTTCAGGTCTTTCTCTCTGCCTTCTCCTCAGCCTGCTGTCTCATCTCAATTATCATTCCAAAAAGTATTAGGAGTCTAATTGTCTCATCCAAACTATAGACTTTGAATTCTCTTATGTAAAATCTTTATCTTTTCTTAATTAGAATTTGGGTCCAATATCAGTTATTCTAATTTTGTTATTAGAGTTTTTTCTTTTCTTTTTTTTTTTTTTTTATAGTTATTATTAGGTAGAGCTTATATAGTTATATTTGATCAAGTTTTATTTCCTATCTTTTGGTGTTTAAGTTGAAATTCATGGTTCTATGAGTTGGATTAAAGTCTTAAATCATGTTGATGGGATGCAAAATTGTCCTAAATATACTTCCCCCTAGATTATACTGAATTGAAAAGTTTGTGCTATTCTTTAAATATTTCAGCATCAACTAAACTTTCTTCTTTATTCTGATGTACGTTTGATAATTGATTAGAAGAATTTATAGATACATGAAGGGTTGTTCTGAATCTATAATTTAACTTTTTTTCCCATGTTAATTAACAATTTAAGATAAAGAAAGTTAAGAAAAGAGCTTTATGTTTGGACTTAATTTCTCCGGAATATGTCAAAACAAGTAGTTTGTTTCATTTACAAATTTCATGCTAGTATGGGTAGGAATATTTATATCATCCAGTTTTAATGGAAGTTTTTTATACCATGCTTTTTCTAGGTAATCATTTCCCAGATCAATGGACAAGATCATCCGTCACATTCCACTCATGCTTTCAATGTTGGAAAGATGAGAATCAAGCTCTGTAGAGGATGGATCACAAAGTCCAGAGAAATATATTCCACATCAATGCTGGTAACTATTTTGGTTGCTCTATAGCTTTTTTCTTCTGTATCCGTTATGCAGTTAAGTATTTTCGCCAACAGCCATTCTCACATTTTTGCTTTCCAAATTAAGCTATGCGGAGTTCGTGGTGATGGTAATGCCCCGGCGAAGTCATTGTTTTGGCAACCAAGGAAAGGACTCTCTTATGTATTAACGTTTGAATCAGAGAGAGAAAGGAATGCGGCAATTATGGTTGCAAGAAAGCATGCTTTTGACTGTGGTGTAAGTTCATTTTCTTTTTCCTTTTTCAATTTTACTAAAGGAGGCATATGAAATTATCTAAAGATATTCTCACTAACTTTTACTCCCAATGTTATGAAATTTAAGTCTTTGGTTATTCGCTATTTTGCTTTTTGGCTTATACTCCAATGGAGCTTGTTTGATTTTTTTTTTCCAAAAATTTTTAAAAACCAAGTTATGTGCTTTTCTTGGTACTTTTTTTTTGCTACGAAGTATTGAAATCCGAAAAATATAATATGCAGGTGATGCTTGGAGGACCAGATGATCAAATGTAGAAGTAAAAATCTAACTGACAGTCTTTTACAACTGTGATACAATGAGGCTTTGGTAGTGTGAGTAATTACATTGTATGGTGTGTTTGGCATGATGAGGGAGAAAAAGAATATGTTTGGGTTTGGGTTCCACTAATTTGGTTGCATTGTTTAGGCAGTCTTTTTTGTTTTGCCTAATCACCGATTGTAACAAGTTTGCTGTTTTTAATTGATTGGTTGATTTGTGCTTGATTTGCTTGCTTTTTTTTTTTTTTTTTAATTCTTTTGGCAATGGACAAAATATATCACTTACAAATATCATGGGTAATGTTAACACTAGGGATGGGAGCTTAACTTATTACCGTCGGGATCCGATCCAACTTCTTAGGATCAATTTTTTTTTAATTAGATTTAGGGTCGGATCAAATAATTTAAAAAAAAAATTAGGATTAAATTTTAATTAAATCTGTCCCGATTCGATTAAGTAACTATATAAAAAATATTTTTTAATTATTTATTTAATTATATATATAATTTTTTATATTTATTTAATTTTATATCTACATTAAACAATAATATTTTATATTTAAAAGATAATATTTTATTAATTTTAGGTTTGATCAGATCAAATACAATTTTATATAATATCGGATTGATTCGAGTCAGATTTAAATATAAAAAAATTGTTGGGCTAGGTTAGGATCAAGGCCAAAAAAAATTCACCTCAACCCATTATCATCTCTAGTTAACAAGCATAGAATATTATAATTTGCATGGGATATCATATTAATTTTGATGAAATTAAAAATAATAATGATTTAAGATTAATTATTGTAAAAATAAAATTGAGTATTGTAATTGTGAGATTAAAATAAATTGAAAGATGTAATATAATGAGATAAAATATAATGAAAGGAAAAAGATCATTAAAAATTAAATTAAATGTTGTACATAATAAAAATTTTAGATTATTCGATATATATATATATATATAAATTTAAAACTAATTAGAAATTACTAAAATTGCTTTATGTCAATAACATTTTTGTTAATAAATAATTAAAAATTAATAAAAAATAGTAATATATCATATTATTTCTTGAATTTAAATATATAGACTTTTCAACCTTTTCATTTATTATATATTTGATTATTAAATTGTATACTAATTTTATTTATTAAATTTTATTAACTTATTTAATTCTAGATAACATATTTATTTATAATGTATTTATATTAGAGTTTAAAGTTTTTAAGAGGCATTTTAGGAAATATCAATTATTTAGATGGGTTTGGTCTGAGAAATTTAATTCTCTTTTCAGAATTTAATATTATATTATTTGATTTTTTAGTTTGGTTCAAAATTTTTTTCTACTTCAGGATTCTTACAATCCCAATAATGTCGAAAAGGAAAAAATAGGAAAATAAAAAAAATTCCTCTTTTTGAGATTTTTTAGATTTTGGAAGAAAGGTGAAAATTTTTCTCATTAGCTTCAATTTAATTGCATTTTTAAACTATATAGATAACATTATTTATCTTTAAAATGTAGTAATTTTATATTTTGTTTTTTATAATTTTGACACAGATGAATTTTTAAAATTAAAAATATAATCTCTGTTAAAAATATATTATAAAAAATTTATTTTTAAAATTCAATAAAAGTAACGTTTTTAAGAAAAAATATGGTCTTAAAACGTTGATTTTTGTAGAAAATATGAAAAAATTTATTTTTCAAAATTTAATAAAGATAATTTTTTTAAAGTAAAAAAATGCGGTCGTTATTGAAAATATAAAAAAAAAATTTTCGGAATTTATTAGTTTCAACAAAGATGATATTTTTTAATATTAAAAATATATTACAAAAAAAAACTTATTATTATATATCAAACTTATTATTACATATATTATATGCGTAATAAAACCTAAAATATTTTTACTTAAATAATTTAACAAAAATATCAAACAAACAATATACATATTAAATAAATAAAAATTTAAATAAATCACTTGTTATTCACGTGTCATATTTTATAAATATCGTGTGTTATTTATGTATCATTAAAAATAATATAATAAAAGACTTTCTTAGGTGATTTTATATTTCTCTAACCAAATACAAAAATTTTATATTTTCTAAGGTTAATAGAATCCAAAAATTTCACATTCTCTTTCAATATCATTTTTCTTCCCAATTACTTTATTTATTGAAATCTAAAAATTCGTGAATCGAATATCATCTTAAGGATATAATTGGACAAATAATAATGTGCTAAAAATGAAGTGTTATTTTTTAAATTTATTAAGATTATTTTAGACTTAAAGATATGTTTGTGCATAAAATGATAAATATTTCAAGAAGAATTAATCATACTTTTGGTATAAAATGATTTAATTATTTTAAAATAAATAAAATTATTTTTAGTCAATGAAATTGAACTTAAATATTCTAGTATACCTTTAAAAAATATATTAATAATTTAAATTATTTAAACTTAAAAAAATAATTTTAAATGATAAATAAAATATTTTATTCTAATTTTTATACACACAAAAATAAAATAAAATGATATTATTTGACTTAATTTTATTTTATATTATTTTATTATAATTTTATATGCCGAACGTATCATAAAATTTTAAATATAAGAATAAAATTATATTAAAAGGACATCAATAAAAATAAAAACCAAAAGTAACGTGTAATAAGTCATCGTACTCTTTCCCCAGCAGACGTGAGACAGCCATGCACCGATGACACGAAAGGACAACCGAACCATGGTTTTGCTACTCAAACAGCAAATCACGATGCAATTGTACCAAGAAGAAGACTTCATCGTTCCAATCCAAACCGAGCCTAATTCAATGGAACTTACCATCCGTCGCGTTTTATGTGGAAAATTTGATAACAACTAATTGCTGTAGTCTCTCTCATGCTGATTTATGGTCACTCTCGTGCTGTAGTTACTCTCGTCCGTCGTATTTATGGGTCGAATTAGATGAGATACGGATTAGATAGATTTAAATTTTAAATATTTTATTTAAAATTTGGTTCGAAGTTTATGAATTTAAAAATTATGTTTAAATTCGTTTGAAAAAATTTTACTTTTTATTTAAATTTTAAATAAATCTTTAAATTTAAAACAAATAATTCAATCTTTGAACAAATCTAACTCATCCTATTACATATTTGTATAATCCATATCAAACCCTAAATTAATTTAATTATTTTAATTTAATATAATATTCATAAAATAATATTTTTAAATATAAATTATATCTTAATTATATATGAATATAATATTTTTATTTAATTAATATCTTAAATTAAGATATTAAATAATAAATAATAATAGACATTTTAATATATCTAATCTCGATTTTTAAATAAATACCTATCTTACCACCAACTCAAGTGCTATATCAAAAACAAACAATTGTCTTTATCGATTCAAAATAAAACCTATTAAATATGAATTATTTTATCATTTTAATCTTAAAAGCTCATTTGATATTCATGATATCAATGGAGTTTTTAGTGCTACAGCTTTTTCAAAATCAATTTAAAAAAAATTACCCAACAATGGTATCACAAGTTTAAAATTAAATTAAACTTTTACCAATCAAACGTATTGCAAATCAGAGTTTCATGGTTAATGATCGCAGAGTGAATGATAATGTCTACTTTTCCTAACTAAAATCATTAAGGTTCAAAAAAAAAATCTTTGTTCTTTTTTGTACGTAAGGTTTAAAAATATAATGCTACATTGAATCAATATATATATATATAAGGAGGAATTAATTTACATAATATAAAATTAAAAGATTTTATATTTTTTATAATTTATTTTAATAAATTCAAGAGATGAGATTAAACTATTTTTTATTTTTTTATCTATATAATTTATTGAAATCAACAGTTAAAAAAATATATAATTTTTTTAAAAATTTTATACTATATAAGTTAATTTTTTCTATATTTTTCTATATATATATATATATATATATGAGATAAAACCCTAAAGATGTATTTGATTTGAGAAATTATTTTTGTTTTTATTTTTATTTTTTAGAAAATACTTTTGGTTTTCTATTTTTTGTTTTTTAAAAAATCTATTTGGTGAATGAAAACAAAAATTATTTTCTAAAAATATATACAAATAAAAAAATAGTTTCAAAAATAATTATTATCAATGAAATCTAATTATAAACATATAATATATATTTATTAATTAATAACTTTTAAAAATATTAAAATATGAGCCAATTTCTTAACTTGCATTTGCCTGATCAAAATCAAAAGTATTGAGCAATTAATCTTTGCTATAGTTGGAAGTATTAAAAAGAGGTCACTTCTCCTTTGTGCAAATCGAGATCGGAAATAGTGAGAAAAGACTAGACAGACAACAAACTTGAGTAATATCATTGATTCCTTTGTTATTATGCAAGTTACATTATTTAACCTTATCTTTCCACAATCATATGTTAGTTTATTTAAATTATATTTTTAACTAAACAATATCAAACGCTTATACAATTTTGACCTAAATATCCCAACTTTAACAAGGTTCACTATCCCTTTAGTTCATTTGATGCCAGAAACTTGTTTTGGAATTGTTTGGTCTTAAAGCTTGTGCTTGTTGGCGGCTCATATTTTAAAAAAAAAAAAAATGTTAAAATATGCCTATGTCATTGCCATAGCCTCTTTACGTTGATTTTGAGTTGTTTAAGAATCAATTTTGCTCACAAAAATTTTTAAAAAAAATCAATTTTGAAGTGGGATTCTGCTTGGAATATCAAACCCTAATCATTATAATAAGCTACAAATTATACAATCACATATTAAAGAAACATTTTTTGAAATCAATAATTATTTTTGGAGACTAATAAAAAAAATTTTTTATTTCAGATTAATTAAAACTAATATATTTGTATTTAAAAAATACATATTTATAAAAAAAATCATTTAAATGTGCAAGATAAAAATTTAAAAAAAATTAAAATAATTTATTTTTAAAAAAATTCATGAGTATGAAAATTACTCACATCCATTAAATATTCACAAGAATATGAATGAAATACTCGTTACGTATAGATACATGAATGAACATAATATAAAAAATAAAAAATAGGGATGAAAAATATTTACTTACCTTATACCTTATCCATTGACATCTCTATTTTCATCACCTATTGATTAAATAAATCTTGATAATATTTTTAGTTAAATTCTTACATATCATTAAAAAGATTTTAATTTTCAAAATAGATTTCATATATGTATATGAATGTATTAAACATTGATCATGCGGCTAATTCAAGTTTAAAATATTTATAATTTCATATTTGCTTTTTGGCATAATGCTTAAAATCACTACAATTTTTTGTAAAATTAAATAAAATTTTGAAATGAACCAAAAGAAAAGGATTGTATATTTTTTCAATAATAACAATAATAAATAAATAAATCAATCAATCAATCAATATGTACATAGATTTATAACAATTGAGATTTTTAAAAAAATTTATTAATGAGCAATCTTCTGATTTTTCAAAAACCGAATTGAATGGATATAGAAATCAAATCAATGTGGTTAGTTTAAATTAGTTCATTTCACTAATTTTTTATTTTAAAAAATTTTTATATTTAATTTATTTACTTAAATTTATGAATGAATTTTTTTATAAAATATATGAAATTAATATATAAATTAATAAAAAATATATTTCAATTCAATTCAAATAATTTTGATTTTTTTTATTATGAATCGAAACCGAATCAAATAAGCATCTTTACAATATAACAAAATTCAAATTGAATCCAAACAAAACATTACTATTTGAATTGATGTTTGATTTTTAAAATTTTTTTCTCCACTCTATCAATTTATTTTTTTGAGTGAAATAAATAATTGTTTAATTTAATTAATTTATATAATTATTTTAAAAAATAATATTCAATATATTTTATAGTTCAAATCTCAAAATTTATAATTTTTTATTTTTTATGTAAAAAAAAAACATAGAAACTCAATTTTATCGTCCGGCTAGTTTAAGGCCAGGAAAAGAATTTAAAAAAAAAAAAAAAAAACCGTGAAAAGACCAACGTATACGGTTTTTATTTTCCTTTTGTTTTTGTAATAGTGAGAAAGGGCCTAAGTGTTGCAAGAAAGAGCAGGTAGCACAAAAAATTGAAGCTATTACATGTAACAAATATGGGACGCCCTTATAATAATAGGAATTGAGTTACCTTGTGAGTGTTGAGTAATTTTCCTTCAATAAATTATTATGAGGCAGAGGCAAAAGGCAAATGCAAACGGTAACTTTTTTAGCCCATAGACTGCACAACAGGGAGCATTACACTTCCAGGTAGGATAACGGCTATAAGTTGTAGAGGGGGTTGTCCACCGTTGGATTAGAAACTATCCAACGGTCAGAATTTGAAAAAGAAAATATGACCGTTAGGCTTACAAGCGAAGCGTCGGCTCCTCAGCTTCAAAAGGAAAGCAGTCTCTCCCCTTGTCTCATTCCCCAAAACCCACAGAAATCTACAGAGGAGAAGAAAGAAAGAGAGAAACTCATTGAAAATGGCTTCAAGACCCATTGTACCACAACAATCCAAAGGTATATCATCGATTGCTTCTTTTCAATCTCTGAAGATTATATTCGTGTTTCTCCTTCTGTTCTTTTTGTTTGGGGAATCCTGAATTATTTTTTGTTCCTTTTTTCTCTTTTGGATTGTTTTGTTTCCCTTTATCAAGTGATTTTATGGTTTATCTTGAAAGTTTCATTGGCCAAAAAAGATAACGATCCTTTGTTTAATTGTAAAAGGGTCAATTTTTTGCACTTGTTTTGTGGGAATCTGTTGAAACTGTATCAATCATTCTTCTCCGTCTCAGAAGGAGTGAATCATTTGGGGGAATAATAATTTGTTGTTGTTTGCTGCAGGCGAGGGCGGCGTTGTAGGAGCAGCAGTTAATAAGCAGACAAAGAAGAATGCGGCAGGAGATGGGAAGAGCCGCCGTGCGTTGGGAGATATTGGGAATCTGGTAAACGTTAGAGGAGTGGTTGATGGCAAGCCCCAGCCTCCGATTCACCGTCCTCTCACGAGGTCTTTCTGCGCACAGTTACTTGCCAATGCACAAGCTGCCGCCGCCGCTGAGAACAATAAGGTATATTTTAATATATAATTTTATTGATTGCTTTGTAACTCTTCCATTTTTTTTTCTTTTATATAATCTTTCTTCGCTAGAAATTAAATAACAATGTAAAAGAGTTTGCAGCAAGAAGTTCTTTCTTTGACATGATATTTCAATTTATGGGTTCCTTTAAAATACAGAAAAATATTTGTGTTAATGTGGATAAAGCTCCTGTTCTTGATGGAGGCGCTGTGCCTAAAAGGGCTGCTGCACCGAAGCCCGCTCAAAAGAAGCCAACTACTAAGCCCAAGCCTGCAGAAGTGATTGAAATCAGTCCGGATACTGATCAAGAAGCGGTGGAGGTGGAGGAGAAGAAAGATAAGGTTCCTGTGAAAAACAATAAGAAAGTAACTGAGGGAGAGAGATCATCCAAGAAGAAAGCACAGACTCTTACTTCAGCCCTTACTGCCAGAAGCAAGGTGATTTTTTTTTTTTATTTGTATGAATCTTTTGACTAATTATTAATGAAACTTTCAGGGATAATCTGGTAGTCTGATCTGGGTTGTAAATTGCTAACAATTTGATTGTAATGCAGGCTGCCTGTGAAATTGCTAACAAACCAAAACAGGAGATTGTTGATATTGATGCAGCAGATGCTAATAACGACTTAGCTGGGGTGGAATATGTTGATGACATCTACAAGTTCTATAAATCAGCTGAGGTAATAACAACAAATTCATCAGTGTATATTGTGTAAGTAAATAAATCAACATTACTAAATGAGTTGATGGTTTTGACGTGATGACATTTATGAAACGTTTGGAATGCAGAATGAGAGCAGGCCACATGACTATATGCACTTGCAAACTGACATTAATGAGAAGATGAGGGCAATTCTTATTGATTGGCTGATCGATGTTCATCAAAAGTTTGAGCTTTCACCTGAAGCTCTCTACCTTACCATCAATTTGATTGACCGGTTCCTCTGTGTGAAGATTGTTCCTAGGAGGGAATTACAACTGCTGGGCATGAGTGCCATGCTTATTGCCACCAAATATGAAGAGATCTGGCCACCTGAGGTATACGTACAATCTTTACTTTTTTCTTTTGTGTCGAATAGATCATTGGCTAACTGTGAATTTGTAAAAATACAGGTCAATGATCTAGTATGCATTGCAGATAGAGCATACACTCATGAACAGATACTTGCGATGGAGAAAACTATACTGGGAAAATTGGAATGGACTTTGACAGTTCCCACACACTATGTATTCCTAGCGCGCTTCATCAAGGCATCGATTCCTGATGAGAAGGTGAGGATTATTTTTCCTTGTTAACAGATTTTTTTGTTTGTTTGTTTTAAGATGGAATAAATAACATGGAATGTTTGATGTTTGCGTTATAGATGGAAAACATGGTATATTTTCTAGCTGAGTTGGGAATGATGCATTATGAGACCATAATGTTCTGCCCATCAATGGTTGCTGCCTCAGCAGTGTACGTTGCTCGTTGCACTCTAAACAAGACTCCTGCTTGGACTGACACACTCAAGTTTCACACCGGTTACTCTGAACCACAGCTCATGGATTGTGCTAAATTGCTGGCTTATTTCCATTCAATGGCTGCAGAGAGTAGGCTTCAGGTTATATACAGAAAGTACTCGAATTCTCAACGAGGAGCTGTTGCATTGCTTCCATCTACCCCAAATCTATTGAAACATTGATGCATTAATCATGTTCTTTATTTGGATTTGGAACAGTTTACTTGCTTGTGTTCCCCGAATGAAGCCATTGATGCATTCGGGATTATTCTTTTATCAGTTTCTTCGTGGCTTGGCAATTTGTGTATTTGTCCCAAAAATTGGCCAGAAAAAAATTCTTGTCTTCTAAGTGAATGAGAATGATACAAAATTCTCAGGTTTTACAGAGAATTTAAAAAGTTTATTTTTTTTATTTTCATTTAAAATAATTTTTTGGAAGATTTTTTTGCCAAAGTTTATTTTGTCCGTGACCACCATTAATTTCAGAGGTAAAACTAGTAAACTCTCTCTGCTGTGGATACTGGACGAAGGAAGACAACAATGACTGTGATGTTATCTTTACTGCCGCGTTCTGCAGCTTCTGTTGCCAACCTTTTGGAGCACATAGCAGGCTCTTTGACCGTATTCCTGATGATGGTTATGACCTCCGTGTTGCTCACAACATCCCAGAGTCCATCACTAGCCATTACCTGCCAATCAAACCCTATTTTAAGATAATTTTTCAAGTCCAGGAACCACAGGGACTTCCACTGATGTGTGCCGGTAGTTTGCCTCAACTTATTGTAAAACCATCAAAAAAATTTTTGCACCAAAGGGAATAAAAAATTTCCAAATGTTGTTTTACTACTACATTGTCTCCTAAACAAGCATTGCATCAAAAAAGAAAGTCCTAAAACAAGCAGATTCAAATTCAAACTGTACCATGAAGATCATTCTAATAGGGCTTTTCCCCTTGTGTTTCCATCTTCATATGCTAATGATGATAAAGTCATTACAGTTGATCTAATCCGTCTTAAACTCAATTCTAAGATTTGAAGTCCAGTTATCACATCCACAACATACAAATTTCCACCAAGTCCAGGAACCACAGGGACTTCCACTGTTTGTGTGCCAGTAGTTGCCTCAACTTATTGTAAACCGCCAAAAAAGTTTTTGCACCAAAGGAAATAAAAAATTTCCAAATGTCGTTTTACGACATTGCATTACACAAGTATCAAATGTCCTAAATAAGCATTGCATCAAAAAGGAAAGTCCTAAAAGAAGCGGATTCAAATTCAAACTGTACCATGAAGTTCATTCTAATAGGGCTTTCCCCTTGTGTTTCCTGTTATCTTCATATGTTTCCCATTATAATGATGATAAAGTCATTACAGTTATAAAGATCTTTATATAATCCGTCTTAAACTCAATTCTAAGATTTAAAGTCCAGTTATCACATCCACAACATACAAATTTCCACCAAGATAACGAGTCTTACCAGGAATTCATCCTCCACTGAAAGTACAGTTTCAGTTATCTCAGGTTCTGCAGTTACAGCAGGCTTCAAATCACCATCACCAATGGAGCGGGTTACCTATGAAAAGACATATCAATAGAGGAAGTATTTGGCATTTTTTAAGAGAGAAAAATCATTAAATTAATTCATGTTTCATTCCCAGCACATTACCACATGTACAATAGTCACCCAACCCAACTTAATACCCTAACCAACTGCCCTTTTATTTTGTAATTACAACCAACCATCAGCACTTGCCACCCACAACCACACATCATTTGCTATCTCTCAAGTTTCTTCTTTTATTTGAGATTAAATAATGCTATTCAGACTGAAAAAAAAATAATCATGCTATGAAATGGTAACAGTTAGCTTTAATTCTCAACCTTTATTTTCTTCTTTTTCCCCCAGATTTTTTCAAATTTCTCTAGTCAAGTGGTACCATTGACCTCTTTTGTTTGTATTACAATAATTGAAGAATTTGAATCTGTTCCCAGTGGGTTCTCTCATCTATGTTTAAAAGAAAATTTGGACATAAAACGCAAAAAAATAAAAAATAAAAACCTTTTTCCTGTGTCCGATTTTGTTATTATTATTATCCTCCTGTGTCCAATATGTATCCTACCGTGTCAAAAGCATGTCTATGTTGAACATTGATATGACACAGGTACACAAGGGTAATGATCATGTCTGTGCTTCATGGTAATAGTAGTAATTATCTGCAATTGTCAATGTAAATAGAAGCATCATATAAAGGCGCTCCTAAAGAATGCCTCGAAAAGGTGATTGATTAGATGCAAACTCATAGTTATGATTTATCCTCTAATTCCTTGCAACAGCCCTTATGAAGCACAAGCATGTCAGTTCCCCTTGCATATTGGTGTCATCTGTGTTATACATGACAAGATGCATGTCCGACAGGCGGGGATAGCTAAAAAATTTTTTTTTAAATTCAGACGCTGTCAAGACACAGCAAATACACATCAGAACACCAAAGGGACACAGAATGGAGATTCTTCCTTTTGCATTTTATGGCCTAAATATTCCTCTAAACATAGATGATAGAAGCTGACATAGGAATGATCAAAATTCCTCCTCAATTAAGAGAATACCTGACAGCAGTGGCACCACTTGACCAAAGAGATTTGAAATGATATGAGAGGACAAGAAGAAGAGAAAGGGGAGAAATAAGACTGCCTACTTGCCATTTTGCAGCATGATTTCATCTAAAATCAAATAATAAGCTAGAGAGATAGCAAATGATGAAGTGCCACCGTGGGTAGCAGGAGATGATGAAAGGTCAACTATTTAGGAAAAAAAGGACACTTGGTTAGGGTATATAAATTGGGTTGGGTCGAATAGATTCTTAAGGCTTTAATCTCTTCAAAGCCCATCCATTTCAAGTTGCTTTAAGGACCAAAACTGATGCCTAATTCAAACTTTAACCTATACCCGTTTAAAAAAACATTTACAACAACAACATATTAAGTTTTATATCCCATAACTTTAGGATCGGTTGTATAAAAGTCTAAAAAAAAAAATCATGTAAAAAAACATTTACAGGATATAAAATTCTCTTAATAATTTCTCTTATTATAGACCAACTTGCAATATAAATTTTATTTATTAAGAGAATCATTTAGTGCATGTTCAAATGAAATATATTAAATATAATTTTTTAATTGTATCCTGATGTGTAATATCCTAATTTTTCAAAAAAATGATATATAGATGTGTTCGTCTCATGCCACATCCGTATCCAGTATCATGAATATTTCATTTATCAAAAACAAGATCCATAACTTTTTAACGAATTTATGAAGTATTAAACAACAATATGATACCTTAATATCTACTAGATCATAATGTGAAAATTAGATAGGACAAGCTTATATGTTAACTACTACGACACAAGTCTGAAGTGTTTATTTAGAAAATTGCTATAATGAACTGAGCAGTTGAGGAATCCTGGTTTTTAACCACCCATGTTGGATTCAATGACTGATTGCATCATTTTAATTTCCAAAAGAAAATTTAAACCTTTCAAAATTATAAAAAGAAAAAATATATATCAATGGTAGTGTGTGTTTTTATAAAAACGATTTAAAAACCACAAAATCTGCTATTAAGTTGCAAAACAACCAATTACAAGTTCGGAAGCTGAGAACTCTGAGCTAGAAATTCACGTTGGATAGCAATTGATGTTGTTTCCTATTGGCCATAACGGAGTTACCTCCCAGGAAAGTAAGTAAAAAGTGAGGTTTTCAATTCTGATAGGAAACATGAATTTATAACCCAACCATAAACAAATAAATAAATGGAATGCCAAAGCTCTAGGTGGAATGAAAGGAAACATCTAAAAAACAAGTCTAACTACAAGGTTTGGTTTTGAATTATCCAGTCTCTTATTACCATGTTAGAAGACTTTTTGGTCTTTGTTGTATCAAGCAAATGGATTCGCAGAACCATTAAAGATGTTTAACAATGAAACTAATGGTAAAGAGTTTTCTTCAAAGAATTAACTTCTAAGTCAACATTGCAAAATTTTACAGAGGGACAAACCTGAAGTGCAGCAGGACCAACCCTCCAAGTATCAACTTGCCATTTTACTTGCCCCCCTGCACTCACAACACGCTTTCTCTCCTCAGGGCAGCTTGCGACATGATCCTAACATGTCAAAGTCAAGTAGTTTTAGAATAGTAACATGCAATAATGCTATAAGAACTGATAGAATTCAAATAAAATTAGCTAAGCTTACCCTACTTAGAGCTATGGGGCACCTGTTCCGACATAAAATTGTCCTGCAATCACCTGCATTAGCAACAAAAAGCTTGTTTCTAACTATTAAAGCAGCAGCTGCAGTGCAACCAGGATGCCAGTCCTTTTGAATAACCCTCTTGGATTTTCGATGAGAATCAAGTTCATCTCTGAATGCAACATCTGTCCTAACAAATGCTTCCAACAGTGCATCAGCAGGACTGCATTCATATATACACTTACTTAATCTAAGAATATTGATGGATTGAAGAAGGCATGACAGCCAAAGTGAAACACACCTGCATGTAGAACCTATGATTTTAAGAAATTCTGGCAATGCTTGAACTGAAAACTCAGCTGCTGCTGCACCTGCAATTGTTCCAGAATCCAGACACTAATATACATTACAAAGGAACAAGAAAATTACACTCAACTGCATCCAGAAACAGACATTTTACAAGAATAATTCTAGCCCATGATGTTTCTTAAAGATCCAAACAGGAACTTGTCTCTCTCTAGAATTTGCAGATATCTCCTAGTAAGATTAGGAGACAGTTTACTCTAAGAGATCTACAAACATCAACAATTTTATTTTTTCAAAGTTCTGACTCCATGACAATCCACTACTTCTCACTTGATGCTAAAAATGGTTCTTGGATTATTAATTGTTAACAATAAGGTAACTGATGCAATTAGCAACAAAATAGGTTAAGACATTCCAATTATACAGACACACAATGCAGACAAATTTAGTAACTTTGAAGTGGAGACAGCTTCCAGTTTAAGCTATTCCAAAAATGAAAAAAAAAAAAAAAAAAAAAAGGAGGGGGGAGAAGTATTTGAATTAATTTCTTAGAGAAGATTGCCTTTTCTGAAGTGATTTTATTTAAAATTACCCAAAACTTAATCTGGCCTCTTTTTGTATGATTTTATTTAAAATGGCTTTAGAGTCACCATATTAATTGCCTAAAGTTTCTGGTGGCCGTTAGAAGTATTTCTCCTCATATCTGATCCCTATTGCATCTTCTCGAGTATCACTGTTTTGCATACCTCTATGGCCATCAAAGACACCAAAAACATGAACATCCTTCTCATCACATATGTAAGGCATAAGAAAGTGTGTGTCCTCCATACTCTCCCGTCTCCCACATGTAGCAAAGGATCCCCAAGAAAGCACTGGTTGGTATGTCAAAGAGTCATCAAAAGAATCAAGCCATATTCTGAAACCAGAATGTACTCCAACAGAAGCTTTTTTGGACAAATATTCTCCCTGAGTAGACCAGTTAATATTTTCCTGATAGCTATGAAGGTTGTTAATCCTATCCATAACTCGATGACCATGAGCAATGGAAGATTGATGAAGAGATAAATCCTCTTTCTCCATTTTCTTTCTTTGATGCAAAATACCATCTAGTTCTAACACTATATCGTTAAATGAAGGCCTATTTTGAGGATTCGCATCCCAACACTTTTGAATTAGTGACAGCATACTTGCTGGCACTCCAGATTCAATACCAGCAAGAACCGGTCGCAGTCCACCAGAGACCACAGCTGCAGTAAGTTGCTGTTCGGTATAGTTCATCTCCAGAACGGTATGGGCCTGTCAGTAGTAAATAAATTACAAACAATCACTAAAGTTTTTAACAGCATAGAGTGGTCAACAGCCACCCATGGTGTGAAATGTTAAAGAGACATGAAGCTTTGCTTGGCCGTGATCCAATGACAATGCTCCATGTTTAAAAATTCAAGCAGAAAACATAAATCTAAATTTTGTGGACATGCAGTTTGTTTATCTCTTCAATTCTAGACATGAATGATTAGCATGAAACTTAAAACATAATATGCAAAGCAAGATTTGTTGTTAACATGATTTGTTAGAAGAGAATTATGGTGAGGCAAAACCAGTTAATGAAAATTAGTTGGCTAGATTTATACCATAAATGACCATTCATCCTAAGTTAATTCATATGCAAAAATCACTAAAATTCAGTTGGCTTATAATAATATGGCAAGAAAGACAATCAAAGTATATTATTCAACTTCTACTCAATTAATACTCACATAACTTGTTTAACATTTCTCAAAACTGTCTTCTAAGGTTATTTCTCTCTACATAGTTAATTCAGACTGCTACTTGTAGCAGGTAACTCTGAGTTGGTAGAACCTTCTTCAGGAAGAAAAATGGCATAAGATCTTTTAAATAATAATGGAAAAGAAGAAGAAGAACCAAAAGAGGTTTATATGTTTTTTCAATCTGACAAAGTGTAACCATTGTAGGAATAAAAGGAAGCAATTTGTCATTGGAAAGCACAAAATGACAGAGAAAAATAATCCTAAACAAATAGATAGGTTTATTGAATTGGCCAACCAGAATATTTCTTCTACCACTAGAAACTTCAACCATAATATAACAAATTTTATTCACCCCTTTCCCCAAAAGTCTCAAAGTAAAAGAAAGCAGGAATGAAACTCTATTGCGTTAAAATGAGCAGCATGATACATATGAAGAATTTTCCTTGTTACATGGACCACACAGATCAATCTGGCAAGGTGATAGGCAGAGTTAAGTAAGATATTCATATGTAACCTAATCTGAAATTTTCTCTGTATAATACTAACAAATAACTTATGCTGGGCAATTGGGTGGGAAAAACGTTTGGGTTCAACAAAATCCAGGTTGTTTAGTGGGTTTGAGCAGATTTGAGCAAGTTAATTGCAAGCCAGGGTAGCATGAACCCAACCAAATCAAACTAATGATTCATTGTTTGTATTTTAGCATATGCATCAAGCATTTTAATTGATAAGCATATGAATCAACCAAAACACTTTGTCTTGGACAAATGAAATTTTACTCGGTAAGCACATGCATCAATTATCACCATGCAAATGCAACCTAGTCTCGTACTGAATAATATGACTAATTAGAACATAACGACAAAAATACAATAAAAAAAAGACTGACCTGAGCTTCAGCACGAATATCAGTGTATGGGATAATGCCAGTTAGCAATTCACTGCAATTAAATGGAAATCAAGTTTCATGGTCATAACCCTACAGAGCAGCAAATAAACTAGATTAAACATAATGAACATAAATTAAAGTTTCACTGCAATTAAGCAACTACTAAATTTAAATGATGAACAGGGAAACATTACTCCATAATGCATAGTTACAATTAGATTAACCATGCTAGAGAATAGAAATCTAGCTCAAGATAATATCTCTTAACTGTTACTAAAGAGCTAATGATAGCACCCAGGAGAAACCTGATCCAGTGATTCACCTAATATGCTATTGTTATAGGCTTTGGGAAGCATGGATATCTCTACAGATGAGATATTTATGTGTCCAGTGCATATTGATGGCAATGGCAGTAAAAACAGGACAAATACACACCAATAGACATATTGCTTTCCATAAAACAAAGAGGATGAAAGAAAAATGCTCAACCAAAAAAAAAAAAAAAAAAGGATTCAACGTGTAAGAGCTGTGCCTAGGATATGCTTTCACTATCTTGCTCTGACTTCATTTTCCATGAGTACCCATATCATACAAATGTTAACAGGTCGTGGGTATCAAGGTCCAACTCTCCAAGTATATTAGAAAATCTTAGAAAAATTGAATTGCATTGTATCAAACACATATCCATATCTGACACTCATCCCCTGAGTCCAAATAACATAGTCAATGTAGATTTCGTGAGATTCAAATTTCCACATCACAAAATCCAGCAAGGGGAAGCAAAATGATTTTGCATTTAAATAAAATGTAAAAGAGACTTCAATAGCACAAATCCCCTAGTTTCATACTAAAGAATTTGTTGTTATTTCAGGTCTAAATTCTTCTTATTATCATTTCAATAGTATCATCAATTATGCAAAGCTATTAAATACTTTCCAAAAGTTCCAATAGAAGTCTAATATGGAGATACAAAGCCCATACAAGCATGCGTGAATAGCAATTAAAGCCAAAAGCATAAACTGTTTCATGGTTTATTTCACAAAAATTCATTGAAGCATCAAAATGCTTTGAGCACTGTTTGTCATCTCATTCGATAAGAAAGATAATATTTGGCAGACCATTGCTTTTTCTTTTCTCCTAACAAAGCCCACCAGATTCTTTTAAGGCCAAGGACCATGTAAAAAAATTAAAATAAAAAAAAACAAGTTGCATGCAAATGACAAAAAATCTAAAACCGGCCATTCATATTGAATAAATACATATCTATTACAAGAAGAGAGATGAAATAACCAGTGGCTTCGGCTAAACATACAAAGCAACAAAAGCATCCTTTATTTCTGGTTGATTTTGTCACAATTTGGATAGGAACATCAGTCACATATGTACATAATTAAATCTAGCCCTCTGGATAAGCTTATCACTTGGACTTTTCATCACTATGAAAAGATGCCAACTTCCTACATAGCTATCTGCACATAAAGTGGTAAGAATTTCTTAGGGGTAGCGGGTCACAATGTTGGACATTACACGCAAAGATGACTCCAAGCTGAGGTTTTCCAAAAATCATGTTAACACGATTATGGTCAGAATTAATCATGTTGTATGGATCATGTTGTATGGCGAGTTGACCTCAAACTCAGAAAAAAAAATAGAGGATAAGAAAGTTTTCTTTAGTTGGCCAGTTTACTCATCAACCAGGTGTGACATGTTTAACCAGTCATTATAGATATAATTTCATTTAATTTTAACTCAAAATTTATTTCCAATACTAAGTTATTACCACAAGATATTAACACAAGTATTTCAATAGACGAAAAGCGCACTTGGCGATTAATCCTTTTAAAAATTTTCATTTTGGTCTTTAACTTCTCTATTGTTCAATTTAACCGTTAAACCTCTTCAAATGGTTACATTACTGTCCTGTTTAAAAATCTAATGGAAATAAACAGAAGCATTTCAGTGTCAAAATTGTTGGCCATGTATGCATTGTCCATTTTTACATAATTTGCTGATGGAAGGATTAAACCTTAACAATTTAAAGAGGTTTGGCACTTCAATACAACAATTAAAAGGTTAGATACTGAAATAAAACTTTGTTACAAGGCTAAAGACCAAAATGTTTTTAACCCAGTTTAAAATATTTCTAGAATCTTCCATTGCACTATAAAAGGATGATCTTAGTATTTTAGATTAACAGTTGATAATAACTAGCAATCTATGAGCATGGGCTGAAATTAGGTAAGCGTACAATCTAAATTGTCCTTGTTTAAAATAATAGAAAAGCTTTATAGGTTAGTATAGCAAGAATCCTTACTAAAAAATATAGACAATCCTTTGTTAAAAGCAGCATCAAGAATCCTTATTCTTACTTGATAGATACTCCAAAGCTGTAGACATCTGATTTCTCAGTATGAACCTCCTTGGTCAATATCTCAGGTGCCATGTAAATAAGAGTGCCAACCATATTTTTTTTGTGAAAACCACCTGTTGGCTTGCCAGATGATCTCCAATTCTCAGTAGAAACTCGTCTAAGATCTTTCTTATACTCTGCTAAACCAAAGTCGGCTAGGTGTGCAGAAAAGCTTCTGTCAAGCTACATCATATACATTAGTGTAGTTATATAACTTTGAGATCAAAAGTTACTCAATTAAAATCATTTTGCTAACAGTATCTAACACCAACCAGATGATATAGATAACTAAAGAGATCAAAAGCTTATAAAAGAAATTACAAGAATATTTGCCGGCTTCACATCTCTATGTATGATCCCTTGGTCATGCAGGTATTGCAAAGCCTTCGCTGGAAGAAGAAAACAGCAGAAAGAGCAAACCATGTAACATCATTAAAAAAGAAAATTTTAGTAAATTTTGGGGGAACCTAAACGGAAACCAAAAAAAAAAAAAAAGGGAAAAAAAACAAATACGCAAGAGGAAGAACTTCTAGTTTAAGCTAGTCAAGAGAGTATTATGTCTAAAATAACAAATATTTCCATGTAAAAATGAGGATAACGCAAAATGTGCAAGTTCATATAAAAGGCTTGTCAGATCTGATATTCACTAACCAGTTACTAAGATAAATTAACAAACTTAAAGCATGCATTCATCACACTGTCATATTCATCATTCAACAGCAATTGCCTTTCTGGCCATCAGGATTTCTAGGTTTTCCCCTTTTTCACTTGTGCATTATTCTTTGTGATTTCTAAAGCCAATCTGAACCAATAAAAGTTAAATACAAAAGGCAAATAGCTCCCCAGTAACAAAGATATTTTAGAAATTAAACAAAAAAGAGAAAGAGCAACAAAGCCTTGATATTGCAATTGAAATAATAGATTTAGTTAAAACCAATATAAAGAAGTATTATGGTGTCTGCTTTATTTTGGAACAAATATAAAATATAAGAAAAATTCAGTCTATATCTCAGATATTAGCCATATATACTTTTGCGAGTTGTTTCAGGATACAGGTCATAACAAAGATGAAGAATTTGACTAAAAAAGAAAAGAAAATTCAAAAAAAAAAAAAGTAAAGGTACAGAGTTTCAGTGGAGCATGTCGCTAGAGTTTATATGATCCAATAGAGCTTATAATATGAGAGGCTTTCTGTGATGCAGTAACAGCACTATGACCACCATATAGCATCTTTTATCAAAGAAAGGTACATTTTTAACCTACATAATTAGTTTGTGTGTAATCACAATTCATGTCTTCCTGTTTGTTCTATTACCAAATGCATTTGGAATGTAATGAATCTCAAATTTGTGCTTACCAAAATGATGAAGCCTGCAACAAATGCTAGACAAGGTTGCCTTGGTTAATTTCCTTAAAAATTACTTTAAATATTCCATATCTTATTCAGTACAATTATCCTTAGTCAAGGCCATTTAAAGACATGTATCCCCTGAGTTCTTTACTAAGCACCCATAGATAAGTAATGCATTCACAATGAAAATGAATTATAACACATTTCATTCCTAAGTGACCATCTAATTCACAATGGATGATGCAACCAACAATAGAATATGATGAAGCAAGATCAAATTCTCAAGAAAACATAGATTAATGGTCTTTGTTTGTGTTTGAAATGGTCATTGCTCATGTTTGAGCCCCTTACAGTACATTAGTAATAATAGAGTCTTGATTCTATTTTCATTTCTGCAAGGTAGCAGAACTTTTTTTCCTGAACTTTCTTTATCCTTTTATGAGGCAAATATCTTCTAATAGTTTCAAAATTTACTGAAACTGCAGCTATTTTAGCCCATATGATTATCCTTTTAAATCCTCTATAGTTTGAGTTCTTATTTTTACCCAACTCAGTTCTTGTAAGATTTGAATTACTAGAATTTGATCTTTGCAGGAATGAAATAGCTAGAATGTGTCTGCCAATTTGGGTGCATGCCGGCTCTTTCAAATATGAACAGGTACACCTAACCACTGGTTCTCCCCAAAAAGGGCTAGCAAGAAGTAAGCAATCAGGATTCTTGAGTCCACATACATACCAAAGAACTTTCTAGTTAAAATAACAAGTTGCTTTCGATTAAGATCATCAGCCTTTAATGGGGATGACACACTTGAACAAGTATTGCAAGATTCAGGAGGTGGCTAGCCAAACTTGCCTAGTGAAGCACCTTAGCTTGCATAGTTTAGTTTTGCCTATTTCTGGTCAATACAAGCTCTAGTACACTATGCCACAACATCAGTCCTTGAAGGCTAGAATCCACATACATGCCAAAGTGTCTTCTATATGGGATTGTTTGAAGAAACTGTAACCATCAAGAAAATTTAATTTATGTTTTCTTAAACCAAGCATTTATATTTCTAGCATTGTTTTACGTCAAAAGCCAACCTCAATTTCTCTCAATAAACATTGGAAAATACTTTTAACAAACCCCTGAACACACCAAACAAATCAACCATGAAAATCAAAATCGAAGTCACCGCTAATATCAAGCAGCCAAGAACATAAACTCTCATTTACCCCCATTTTAATCCTATACCATAACACACTATAAACCCCCATTGCTTTCATAAAAATACTAGCACCTAAAGGTATTCTCCGTTGACCAAGCTATTTCAATATACTCTATGATTAGCGCTTAGTTGAATTGAAAATTGAATTCAAAATTCAACAGTAGAAGCAGCAAATGTTATTATCAAATTAAAAAAAAAATAGAGAAAACAATGAACACTTTAATGTCATCCTAAAACACTGATAAAACAGGAGAAAAAAAAGGGAAATTCTGGAGAATGCAGATATACCTAACTGGAGCGTGATTAAAAGAGCCTGATCAAGATCGGGAATCCATTCTTGAACGTGTAATTTATGAGCCAGATTGCTTTGTTCATAGAATTCAAAGAAGAAGATATAATTGGGGGGCTTGGCATGGGCAGCGAGGAGGGTTGCTATTCCAGGATGATGAAGCTTGCATAGGAGCTGCAATTCCTTGTGAAATTTATCCAACTCCTCGGAGGTAGACAGGATTGGTTTCTTGGCAGCAACTTTCTTTCCGTCCAAAATTGCCTCGTAAACAACGCTCTCAGCCCCTTCACCCAAAAAAGATAACAAAACATGAGCAAGTGAAAAGAATAGCTAAAGAAGAGAAAGCAAAGAATTTGGTAGTTACCCTTGGCAACTGGGGAAAGAAGAGTGAAGGAAGGAGGAGGGAGGTGAAGAGGGATGGAGTTGCTTGAGCAGCAACCTCTGACGCAAGTGTTTGGCTCCACGATGTCTAACCCCATTTTCCCCGAGTAACTTTGCTGTGGCATACGCAACAATACTACTATACTTTAAAAGTAACTTGGGTATTGGAATTGGAAATGGGAAGGTGTCTGGGAAATTTCCCAGCAACAGCAGGCTCTTTGGGAATTTCCTAAATCTTGGGGAAGAACAAGCAACAGCCAGACGTACACCCACACTGGCATGCAATGCAATAGCAGCCACAAACTAACATCCCTCAAAATCAAATTGTAAGTTATAGTTCGGGGGAAAATTATTTTCAAAAAATAATTTTTAGAAAATATTTATATTTTTCGTTATTTGGATAAATTAATAAAAAATATTTTTTGTTATTTGGTTCTTTTTTAAAATTTTTTTAATAATATTAATATAATTATTAAAATATTCAAAATTATTTATTATTAAAATATATTAAAATATTAATATAAAAAATAATTATATTTGAATAATAATATAAAATATTAAAATTTATATTAATATAAAAAATACTTAAAATAAAACTATTTATTATTCTTTATATTATTTATTAATATATTATAATATTTTTTATTAATAATATTTATTAATATATTATATTAATAGTATATTATTTATTAATATACTATTATAATATTAATTAATTAAATTAATAATATTTATTACATTATTTATTAATATAATTTTATTATTTATTATAATATTATAATATTATTTATTAAATATATTATTTATTTATGTAATATTATTTATAAGTAAAACTATACTCAATAATATTGATAAATAATTTACTCATAAATAATTTTTTAAAATATTTTTTTTTAATCTGTAAGATAATTTTTAAAAAATGATCTCATTTTTTATTGATAAAAATTTAATTTCTGTTTATCAATTAAATTTTTTTCAAACAAACATTTAAAAATACAATAATTATTTTTTAAAAATCATTTTTCGTCAAATAAATAAAGCCTTAGTCTACTTGCACAAACCAAGCACCCCACTTTTCTCTCTCTTTCCCTCTTTCCAATGTCAAGAGTTGTAGAAAAATTCGGAACAAAATATAAACAAAAATTAGTAAAAACATTGCTTGTGTTTTTTGATTGCTGTAAGTGAACGATAAAATTTTGGACGGTGAAAATGAAAATGTTTTTGAATTGAAGGCTCTATTTGTCTCTTAAAAAATAATTTTTATATTTTTAAATGTTTGTTTAATAAAAAATTAATTAATCAACAGAAAATCAGAAAATTTTTATATTTTTTTTAGAAAAAATAATTTTAAAAAAATATATTTATGAGTAAAATTATTTATCAAAGTATTTGAATATAATTTTACTCAAATTAGAATTTATATATGATTTTTTAAGTTTAAAATTAATTTAATCCTACTCAAAATATTATTTTATTAATAAATAATATTTTTATTTAATTTTATTTAAAAAATGAAAATATTAATATTAAAAGTCTTTTAATATTTATTATTAATTCTTAAATAATATTTTAAACATAATATTTTAAATTTAAATTTAATTTAATTTAAAATATTATTATATTAGAAAAAATGTTTTATTTAATTTCAATTAAAATATTAAAATATTCACATAAAAAGGTCTTTTGACGTTTGGATAAGATAAGATATTCTGCAATTGTAGTTGTGGAGGAATTAGTTCTCCAATCACATTGATTTCTATAGTGATTAGAATAAAATTAATGATAAGATATGTATTTTAATTTTAATAATAAAATAAAATATAATGAGAAAAAAATATTAAATATTATATTAAATTTTGTATATAATAAAATTATAAAATTATTTATTATTTATAAAATTAATAAATTATTAAAATTATTTATTTTTAATAAATAATATTTTTGTAAATAAATATTAACAAATAAATTTAAAATATTATTTTAACATTAATTATCTTTATATAAAATTAATACGCAAATAATAATACTACTATTGTATCGCACCTTTGGCATCCAGGCAGCACAATTAAAACCAAACAAGATAGCCTTATTCGTATACAAATGAGGTCTAAATACATAGATTTAATTGCAAAAGTATATTAATATGAAAGGGATGATTTTGATATTAAACTATTTAAATTCCCGCAATTATAAAAATTTTAGTCAATAATTAAAGTTAATACAAAAAATAATTATTTTACTTATTTAAGATAATTAATTTAATTATTGTTTTTATTTTTTATAAATGAGTTTTTATTAAGTGGAACTTTTTATTTATTTTTTATTTTAGGAAATATTCTTTATACCTTAATATATATTAATATTAATACAATCATATATATTGATTATAAGAATATTTTATTAATATATTTATATATTCATTTCCTTGTAAATCCTTTTATTGTTTTTATTTTTTCCTACTTCTTTTATTATTTTTATTCATTCCCACTTCATTTTTTTTTATTTCTTCCAATTTTTTAAGTTTTTTTTATTTTTTAAAATTAGAAATAAATATAAATCCTTGACATTGAATTGTTTTTTAAAATTTTCAACATTTAAGCAAAATTTTAAAAAAATTCTTATTTAAAATTTTTTTAAAAAATTACATATTTATAATTTTCTTAAAATTTCATCTCTAGTTAAATCTATTTATTAAGTGAGAATGATACAAATAAAAATATAAAGATGCAAGAAGGGACGGATGTATAATAGAGGCAGTGGGGAACTGCTCTCACTGAGATTTTTATACCTGTTAAAAATATATTATAAAAATGCTGAAAGTTTTTTATTTCCTTTATAATGCCAAAATTCATCAGTTTGAATAAAGAAAGATTTTAAAGTTATTATTAAAAAAAAAAAGCAAGTGAAATGATTGTAAAAAAAAATCAGTTTTCCTCTTCCTTCCGTATTTATAGCTTTTATTTTTCAAAGTAAGAAAGCAAGGCCAATTTTTAACATAGAGAAGCAGTGAAGGGAACTAAAGAAATTAAAAAAGGGAAAAGAAAGTCACTAAATTAAATAAACAAATTACAAGTTGAATATTTATTTCTTCCAACAAAATATTCAAGGAAGTAATTTTTTTTTATATTTTTATAATTAGTCAATAAGTCAATGTGGTAGAGTGTGTATTTACTATTTAAATTTGTTATATTGATGAAATAATTTGATCATATTATTGATAAAATGCATATGCTTTATATTTTTTTATTATTTAGTTATTACTCATTTAGTTAAATTAACTTTAAGTTTGGCAAAAATTAAGTTTTATATGAAGATTATAAAACCAGTTAGAAATTCTATTCAATTTCTAGCATGATTACAATATATGAATTGCATTTCTACTCATATATTTCAAATATTGAGTCGGTTAATCTTCGTTATCATGTATAATTGTATCTTGAACATGCTTTTTTAATTTTTATAAATTACATAAACTAAACTATTTAATTTAATTAATTATAAAGACATATCTTATTAAAGAAAATCAATTTTTAAAAAATCATTTGGAATCAATACTAATGTCACACAACATTATACAAAGCAAGTTTGTGTTGAATTAAATTTAAATGATCTTCCTTCGGATCTTAGGTTATGAAATTTTTTTTTTTGACTATAACACTAATGATAGAAAGAAGGTTCGAAGAGCCTATTTGCAAAAAGGTCCATGTCAACCTTATGAACATAATTTTTCTAAAAAAAAATTGGAAATGCATTACGTCATTTTATTCCTACATGATTCAAAAATTATACTAATTTATTAAAATATAGTATAGAGAAAGATGTTGCTTTTTGTTTGTATTGTTATCTTAATATAACAGATATTAGAGAGTAAGTAAGTAGTAATTGTTTTGTTTCAGATGTATTCACAAACTATAAAAAGAAAAAAATATTTGCTATTTATGTTGGAGGTCCTGATAATGCTCATACCAAAGCTTGGAAGTATTGTCAAGATTTGCTAAACAAAAGCAACATATTCAATTTACTTTTGCAAAACAATATGATAAAGCACGAAAAGATTAGCGAGTTCATTTAACTGTAACACTTGATTATTTTCACTTTCTTTTTTGTCAAGGTTTGGTATTTCATGGTAAAGATGAAATTAAGAATTCTCACAATCAAGAAAGTTTTCTTGCGCTTCTTAGATTTCTTGCCAATTATAATGAAACCATCAATGATGTTGTCTTGGATAATGTATCAAGAAATTCAAAAGTGATAGCACATGATATTCAAAAAGATATTATTCGTGCCACAGCAATTGAGACTACCAATATTATCATAGAAGATCTTGGAGATAAATTATTTTCTATTTTACTTGAAGAATCTCGTGATGTTTCAATTAAAAAACAAGCTGCTATTGCTATGCGCTATGTGGATTCTAAAAGGCATGTTATTGAACATTTTCTAGGTATAATACATTTTAGTGATACAACCATTTTGTCACTTAAAACAAGTATTGAAGTATTATTCTCTAAGTATAATTTGAGTATGTCAAAAATTCATGGGCAAGGTTATGATGGAGCAAGCAATATACAAGGTAAATTCAATAGATAAAAAACTTTGATCATGAAAGATAATGCATTTGCTTATTATGTTCATTGTTTGTTCATCAACTTAAATTGACATTATAGTCGTATCAAAGAATCATGTTCAAATTATATTACTTTTCAACATTGTGATAAATATAGCAAATATTGTTGAGGTTTCATGTAAACAAAGAGATGTTTTTCAAGAAAAAAAAAACTTGATAAAGTTGTTAAGGCATTACAAGTCGATAAACTTTCTACGAAAAGAGGTTTAAATTAAGAAATAAGTCTTCAACGAATTGAGGATACATGATGGGGTTCACATTATGAGACTTTGATAAATTTGAACCTTATGTTTAGTTCCATTATTGATGTGCTTGAAACTGTTATGGAAGATGGGAATAGCTCAAAGCAAAAAGGTGAAGCTTCTGTTTTATTAGATTCAACTCAATCTTTTGACTTTACTTTCAACTTACATTTGATGAAAAATATCTTGAGGATTACAAAGGAATTGTCCTTGGCATTACAAAGGTGAGATCAAGATATTGTGATTGCAATAACATTAATAAAAGCAGCGAAGTAATTACTACAAATGATGAAAGACAATAAATGGGAATCTTTGCATAATGAGGTTTTTTTATTTTGTAAAAAAAATAATATTGGCATCCCAAATATGGATGATATATTTGTAACTTGTGGAAGACCTTAACGCAATACTCAAAC